TGTGAAGATGTCCGTGACAATCTCACGACTTGGAGAGACCTGCTCTGGGCCAGGCCTGGTGCTAAGCAGGACCCAGTGCAGCCAGAAAGCAGATGTCCTGGGCTCGGATGAGTAGGTCCCCAAATCAGGGTCCTGGGGTGTCATAGGCTTGGGAGCCAAGGCTGGAGCCCCTCTCCTGGGTGCTCTTTCCTGGGAGTTCCTCTGTGAATTGTGACCCCAGCGGGGTGCTCCTTCTCAGTCCCAGCCAGGGGTGAAGAAGCTGGTTGTAGAACAGGGCCACTTCCTGCCTCTGGCCTTCGGCCACCAGGGCCAGCATTACCACCCTGACCCCTCCCCTCCCCCATCTCCATGCTGTCTCCAGACCTGAGAGCAGGGGTTTGGGGTCAGAACAGAGTTTCGGATACTTTTCTACTTGCCACCAGAATCTTTGCTTCCTACTCTGTCCCAGAGAGGGCCCCTAGTGTCAGAAGGCCCTGGGGGCTCAGCAGCTCTGTTCCCAGCAGGGGTTGCTCCTGGGTGTGCCTGAGGGGCACTAGTGGCCACACTAACCTACCCCTCCTCTCCTTGTCATCTGCCCTGTGTGGTTCTCCCTCAGAGACAGGTGACAGGGTAGCAAGGGCCCAGCAGTGACACTGGTGTGGGCCTTTGCCCTGGGGAGGATGGGGAGGAGGCAGCGAGTGGTATCAGCAGCTGCTGCAGGCCTGGGTGATAGGGCGATGTCTTCACGCCAGTCCTCATGTGGGTCTGAAAGAAGCTTCCAGGTCACCAGAGGTCCCTTGAGAAGCAACCTGAGCACCAAGAGGAGGGCACAGCCTCGGTGCTGATGGAGGAAGCCAGGGGATTCCTGTGAGAGTTCCTAATACCTTTTCACACTGTGGCTTTCCAGAGCTGCAGGTGTGCCCACAGCGTGCCTTCAGAGGGACAGCCTGAGGTGGGTGACCAGCTCTGAGAGTCATCCGGGAACTTCTAACTTGAAGTCCCCAGGGCTGAGTCTTCGCAAGGGAAGGGAGCTTTTCTGTCTTCCCAGCCACCCCCGGGTCATGGGACGCTTCCTCCCATGCTTTCAGAGGGTCATGTGGCCTCTAAACCCAGCGTCAGGCTGCTGCCAGTGCAGACTCAACCTCCCTTCTCAGGCCACTTTGGGTGGGCACTGGGCTGCTCCCACTGGCCCCTCGCTGAGAGATGCCCACAAACCCTTGAGGGGTGCACAAGCAGGACCCCAGGCTCTGGGTCTGTGATAGAGATGGAAGGGAGTTCCGCCCTGGCCAGCCTGCCAGGAACGCTGACATCCAAACCGGGACATCTTGAGGCCCAGAATTGCCAGCGTCATCCCAGATACAGCGGGGCCTGGAGAGGCTCCTAGCAGGGAACAGAGGCTGTGGCTTCTGGTCCCCCACGGCAGGGCAGTGTGAGGAGCGAGGTACGGGGGAAGGCTCCATGTTCCAGTCCAGGCTGCCTCAGCAAGTGCGGTAGCCCAGGCGCCTTCTCCACGCACCGTCTGTTTCCCAGCCTTCCGGGGCTGCAGGTAGAGCCGGTGACAGTGGTCGGGCACCGGTCGTGTTTGCAGGTGGCTGCTTCCTGCTGCATCTTCACATGGCAGAATGGGCGAGCTCTTGGGGGTCCTGGTTCACTTCGATCTTTAAAAATGAAATTAGTAAGCCGGATGTGGTGGTGCACCCCTGTAATTCCAGCACTGGTGAGGCCGAGGCAGTAAGATTGGCATGGGTTTGAGGCCAGTCTGAGCTGTACAGTGGGACCCTGTCTCAATAAAATAAAAAATAAAATAAGTTTTAAAAGATATGAGCATGTTTGTTATTGCTGTTGCCAGCATCGTGCTCAGATCTTTACAGGAATTTAATCATCACGTTTCAACAATTTCAGTGTCATTTCCATTTAGCAGAGAAGATTTGAGTAACAGCATTTAATTCAGTTGCCAATAACGGTAGAATCAGTGGAGGAGGGCGTGCCCCCGGCCTGGGGGATTTCACTTCTCTATCAAAATTAATTAATTAATTAATTTTAAGAATTAGCTTTCATGGGTGATGGCATTTATTAAAGTGTTACAACTTTTAAAGTTATGTATCCAGCTCCTCGTTAGCATATGTATTGAATAAATAATCTATTTTCTGATTTAAATTTTCCTGTAATTTTTAGTTCAGTCCTAGAACGACACGGTTTCATCATTGTATGCTAGTAACAGTGATGGCGAACCTGTCAGACAGAACTTTTGATGATGACAAATAGCCGGCTGCCGCATTCGTGCTGTAGGTTCGCCACCCCTGCACTAGTGACGTACGCGGTCTCCAGAGCACCTGGCTGAGATTTCCATCGCATTGTTGAGGAAGCATCTAGAACTGTGCCACTGTTGCCCTTCGTGGCACAGCTGGCCCGCTGCTGCCCAGGTCTCGGGTCTTTCGGTGCACAGATCTGCAGTACATGATCCCGTTCGTGTGGGGAGCTGGTTCATGTATGTGACACGTTTTAACTTTTCTGCTCATTCCCTTGCTCTCGCCTCCCCTCCTCTCTCCCTTACAACCCATTCACCTGCCAAAGGCCCCGCCTAGTACAAGCCTGCTGGGGTGAGGGTGGTGGTATATCAGTGGGGGATAGGACACAGGCTTAGGGGTTCTGAGTCCTGATTGCATCAGGAAGGAGACAGTGGTAGAGCTGGACCAGAGTACCCACTGGCTTTCGGGCACCAAAGTCGAGGGCGTGGCAGGTATGCGTGGAGACAGTGGGTGCCAGGGTCTGCTGGGGTGGGGTGGGGTGGGGTGCATGCAGAAATAGGCACTCCTTACTAGACCTTTGGCCTCAGGAGGGAGGAGAGGGGACCCACTGCACCCAGGGGTGTGGTAAGGGTTTTACCTCTCTCTTGGGGAGACCAGGGCATGTTCGAAAGCCAGGGAGGGCCCAGTTAATAGGGCACAGGAGAGGGTCCGAGAGGTCCCCCAGGAACAGTGGGGTGGGGTTGCAGGGGACCCTCAGACTCCAGATAGGACTCTCTCTGTGCAGACCAGCGTGGGCAGTACATAAGGAGGGCCAGGCGTGGTGGTGCACAGTTATAATCTGTGCACTCTTGAAGGCCGAGGCAAGAGGATTGTAAGTCCGAACACAGACTGGGTAACTTAACCCAGTGACCTAACAAGACTCTGCCTCTAAATAAACAAATAGGTCTGTGGCTGTGGCTCAGTGCAGAGGCCCTGGGTTCAATCCTCAGTACCCTAAAGAAGTCACAGCGAGGTATAATGAAGGAGTCCCTGTCCACAGGAGGAGGCTGTACTTGTCCAAGTGTTTAGGGCCATTTGGGACCATGACGTGACAATGAATCTGTGACCACTGATTGTCCCGTGGGCAGCTTCCTCTATCAGCAAACCCCAAGAAAACAGGCTAGTGTAGGACAGAGAGGCCAAGGGACAAGAGTACCATGCAGGTGTGATTAGGGTGAAAGACTGCGCTCTGGCTGGCCAGCCTCAGCAGCAGGCAAACACAGGAGAGACCAGAGGACAGCTGGTAGAGGATAGGAAAGGTCAGGAGGCTGCTGGAAACAGGGCCAGGAAACTGTAGGATAGTTGACCCTGTGACACTGGAGTGGCTGGCAGCCTAGCAGAGGGGAGTCAGGGCACGAGCAGGAAACTGGGAACCAGGGTGAAATCTCCCATAAATGTGGCTCTGGGTATGAGGTGTGCTGTGATGAGGGGCGAAGGCAGCCATCCTGGGCCTAAGAGGAAGGCTGACTTATGGCATAGGCTGCAACTGACTGCAGCCCCAAAGCCAAACCCTCCTGGTTATCGCCTGATTTTCTATATAAATTTTACTGGGATTTGGCCCCGCCCACTCCCTTCCACATCATTTGTGTCTGCTTTGCACCTCAGACACAGAAAGGGGTCCTTGAAATAGCCCGCCAAGTCTACAGTGGTTGCCACCCAGCCCTTTCCTGGAAAGGTTGGTCAGCGCTGCTCTGGAGCCACTAGTGGCTAACACAAGGCCTTTTAATTTCAGTTAATTAAAGTACAGTCATATCAGTGTCCCTGGGGATTGGTTCCCAGAGTCCTGTGGATTCCCAAGTCCATGGCGTGTTCACGGGCTTCTCTTGATCTGTGTGTGGGCTCTGTCCAGGCAGCACTGGGCATCTGCAGGGACAGGGCCCATCTGAGGGCTGGAATGTTGGGCACAAGTCTGCCGTGCACAGTTGTGGTTTAAAATGCTGTGATTCTTGCATATCCTGTGCACGTCCTGGGGGCCCTTTAAATCATCCAGATGCAGGGCAAATATGGTGTAAGTAGTTATCATGCTGTGTTCGGGGAACCCTAAGTAAAAGGGCCCACGCATGCCCTGGAGACTCACCCATTGTAGGCATCACTGCATAACATAAGATCCGGTTTTGACTGAATCCACAAACACAGTGCGATTACTCTCCATGCAGGAGAAAGGGTCAGTCTGTTCTTGCAGGAGGCGCTGGCCAAGTGCCCAGAGCACATGTGGCCGGTTGCTCATGTGTCCTGGAAGTTCTGTTGGACCACCATGGTCTAGAGGCTGAGGAGGATGTGAGGGCTGAGCTATAGCAGAGGAGAGGCCACAGGCAGTGGTGTGCAGGGGACAGGCTGGAGCAGGAGGAGGGCTGACACCGTCAGATCACTGGCTCAGTTCCTGCGGGCTCCATGGGAGGCATGGGAAGCACTGTGTGTTTGGGAAGTGATGCCTTCTCTGCGTGGCTCCGAGGGCCTGGAATTCTAGATGCCTGTCACCTTGGCACTGAGCTGCCTGGAGGTGCCGGAGTGGCCCTCCTGACACCTCTCGACTTCTTCTTGCCTGTGTGCTGATTCTGTGCAGCTGTCTGCCTAGCACCGTGGGGTGAGGAAGGAAACAGCCGCCCCAGCTGGCTGCAGCTTCTCAGAGGCTCCGCCTTTGTCACCCGGCTGCCGTGATGCTGGTGCCAAGGCCGGGCTTTCAAGTGCTTGTCCATGTTGTTCTCTCGTGGAGATTCACCGTGTGCCCCTCAGTTCCAGGGCCCTGTGAGCCGGAGGACCTCATCGATGGGATCATCTTTGCTGCCAACTACCTGGGATCCACCCAGCTGCTCTCTGAACGCAACCCCTCCAAAAACATCCGCATGATGCAGGCTCAAGAGGCCGTCAGCAGGGTCAAGGTAGGGGGTGCTTCTGGGCCTCCCTGGATGCCCACCTGGGTGAGCTGCTTTGGGGAGCACAGCAGTGGGGAACACACTGGGGCACAGACATCCTGTCCAGTTCTGACTGCACTGCCCTTGGTGTAGAGTAGGAATAGTCAAGGTGCCGGGCAGGGCCCAGAGAGATTTGCACCACAGCTGGGCACATGCTAGGCTGCACACAGAGGCCGCCAGCTCATTAATAAGGAATGGTCCGCCCAGGCCCTTGTAAATACAGCTTGAGAAAGAAAATAATTCTGAACCATTCTAGTTACAGAACATGTTTGTTTGATGCCTTAAATCCCATTTCAACAATGGGTACATTTTCACCACCATTCAATACTTCCAGAAAGGGGGACATAAATCATATTTTATTTAAATGCACCACCTCAAGGACAACTCAGACATGCCTGCAGCCCCAGGTGCGCACTGGACTGTCTGGGTTTGCATCACAGGTGAGGATGGACAAGGGAATGATGAGGCCACATCCCAAATGGGGTCAGGGCAGGGGACGTGAAACTCTAAGGCAGTAGTCCTTCTGGGTGCCACCAGCCAGTGGGGTGAGCAGTGTTGGCCTCTCCCTGGCTCCCCCTCTGCGCACCCCACACTGACCTCTAGTAGTCAGCACAAAGCCATCCGTGTTGGCCAGGAGGAAGCCAAGCAAGCCAGGGGCACTGCTGAGCCCTGCAGCCAGTGCCCTCAGCACCCACCTGGTCCCCTGGCCCCGACCAGCATGGCTTGCTCTGCTGCTTGTTGACCTCAGTGGCACTGTGAACAGAGGCGCTGACAGTCCCGGCACTGGAAGGGTGCGTGCACCAGCTCTGGATCAACGTGTGTGCATGACACAGGCAGAGGCTTCCTCCTGTCCCCACAGGGGCTTCTGCGGGACACCAGACCTAGCTGCGGTGTTGAGCCCAAGACTGAATTAACCCTACTGCGCCTTCCTCTCCACCCACCTGCTTTTTCCTTCTCTTACATGCTGCTCAGAGGATGCAAAAGGCTGCTAAAATCAAGAAGAAAGCGGTGTGTAGGACCATTGTTCTGGAACAGTGGTGTATGTGTGTGTGTGTTTTGCCCTGTGGGGGGGGGACCCCAGGGGGACCCAGATAATGTACTGCAGGACCGCTTTTCCCTTCCTTCAGTAGGTGACTACCCACTCAGGGAGGAGTTTAATAGTTACTCTTTTTATTTTTCTGTTGTAGATGCTTGTATATCCTATAGCATGGCTAATGCTGTGAGATCCCTGTTTTATGTGGACATTTTTAAATGGCAGTGTGATCTATCCAGCATATATGGAGCCTCCTGTACTGTGTAAAGTACATTGTTCAGGCACTGAGATATATTAAGTTTCATTTACCAGATCAAGACAGTAAGTCCCTTAGTTTGCTGGTAAGATGCCCTCTCTGTTGACGATAATTTTTGGAGCCTAAGCAAACTTTTAAAAAAAGAACCTGGGCTGGGAACATAGCTCAGCAGCACAGGTGTCTGCCTGGCAGGCACAAGGCCATCAGTTCAATCCCAGGTACCAAAACAAAACAAAACCAGCTCGGTGGGGTTGTCGTCCTTTGTCAGGTGGTCATTTGGTGGACCTTAGTGATTTTCTCACCGCCCTCCTCATACAACAGTTACCAAAGTGCTCGGTGCGGGAAGGACCAGGGAAAGTCCACGGTTTGTTGTCCACCGTCACCTTCTGCTTACACAATAAGATGCGGTCCTCCCTTCCGTGCTGTGGTAATGGGGTGTTCTGGCACTGTGGCCAGGGGACCCCATCTGCAGGCTCCCTGCCCCTGCAGTAAGAGTTCTATCCACTTTTCAGGGGCCAGGGAAAAGGAACACATTCATGTCCCTGTGCCCACACACAGCTTCCTCTGGCAGCAGCTGGGCAGACGGCCCCCGGTTACAGACCTGTAGTGGCACCGGGCTGCTACCAGGGAAGCTGGCCTCCTGCAGCCTCAGTGCCCCCCTGGGCTGCCCAGGCCCAGGCACAGCCAGAACAGAGGAGCCCCAGCTTGCTCCTGGTGCCTGCCAGATCAGAAGTCCTGTGCATTCACCTTCTCTGGAGGGGCTGGGCACAGGCAGACTCTGCTGAGAAAGACCGCAGTGGCCAGGTTCCACTTGGTGATAAGTTGTTCTTCCTTACCAAGCAGTGGCATGCTCAGGACTACTTGCCCAGAGCTGGCCAGGCAAATGCTGGCGGCTGAGCCCCAGGACTGACACACCAAGTCACTGTGTTCTCTTGCATTGCTCTGCAGATCTGGATTGCTGGTCCCCTCCATTCATCCACCAGGGTATTGTGCTGGTGCTCTTTCCCCTTCCGTTATTGAGTGGGTTTCAGCTCCGTTCACCCGAACTGGGGCCACTCCTCTGTACAAGGGTGACATCACTGTCACCGACACCAAAACCTGCCCACAACTCTTCTGACTTTCTTCTGGCTCTAACTCACTTTTGAGCGAGGGGGTTTTGATTACAACCCTCATATGTCACTTTCAGTAGCCTGTTAGTGGGACGCTAGCCGGATGTTTTAAAACAAAGAAAAAAATCTCCTCTCCGGTCCCACGTTATTTTTTAGATGGATTCTTTAGAGCTCTGTTCTTCTCCTGATTAGTTGGGAGAAGTATCATCCTGGGATACACCGAAAGCACACAGATCTCTTCCTTTGAATACTGAGCTAAAATACAAATTTATCATTATCATAGAGGGCCTCTCGGTGACTCAGAATTCTTGAGGAATAGTCAGCAGGGAGATTTTTGATTTGAGATTTGCTAGTGAGTTAATTAAATCACAGTTTCTGCTGTTTTGAAGTGGAAGATGTACTGCCTCGGGCTCCCAGGTGACCACGCTGAATTACGCACCCCATCGGGCAGACCAGCGGAGCCCGCTTTCCATCAGCACTGCACAGCAGTAATTAGGATTCTCGCAGGTGTAAAAACCAATTAAAGGCTGCCCTGCTTTGGGGCAGATCTTGAGTACTTTGCTCAGCTTCCAAAACAGTCCATGGAAATATAAGTCACGGTCATACGCCGGGCTTCCTCCGGAGGGGGCGACAGATGGGCGGCATTTGTGTGTCAGCCCCTGCCTGCTCCTCTGTGTCACTGTCGTGTGCTCTGCAGCCCTTCCTCAACCTCTCTCCCCTTACAGTTTTTGGGTGGCGACACCAAGGGGACCCACGCCTTGTGTCTGTGCAAACCAGAAAGGAAGGGCTGGCGTTTAAATCCAGCTTCTATGAAAATGCTGTCCCCGGGGATACTTGGAATCCCCCGTCTCAGAAACAGCTTTTAATCTAATGGCGCTGCGCCTTCCCTGAATTCCACAGGGGCTGGCGGAGGGGCCCAGCTTGCTGCACAAAGGAGGGGCTCCCGCACAAGAACCCCCACCCCAGCAGCTGCTCCCTGCTGTTCCAGCCTCCCAGAAACCCCTCGCCTCTCTCTCCTCTTGCCCTGGGGACTCACACGCAGCTCTGGATTCTAAGCCAGGCTGGGAGCGTGCCAGGGGCTGCTCCATTCTGAAGTAGCATTGCCTTCCTCACGGACTCAGGGTGATCCGTAAAACTGCCAGGCCTTTGCTGGGGTGCACCTTTCGGTTTGTGACGGCATCTAATGTCCTTCCTTAGAATTCCGAGGGGGACGGCCAGACCCTGACGGAAGTGGACCTCTTCATCTCGACACAGAGGATCAAAGTTTTAAATGCAGACACGCAGGTGAGTGCCCAGAGGGTGCGCATGCCAGCTGCTAGGTTCTCAGCCCTGGAGGACAGAGTCCCGCTGCAGACACAGGTTCCCAAGGGTGGCGATTCGGCAGCCTGGGTCTTGAGCGCACTGTGGCTGTGGAAAGTAGGGCAAGCTGCAGGGTGCCAAGGAGAAGGATTAAACCCCCTGGGAGGCTGTGATAGAGCCGCAGCTGGGACTCCATAGGGACAGCATGAGGGGGACCTCAGGGGCCAGCAGGAAAGCATGTGCTCCACCAGTCGGGGTTCCAGGAGGACCCTCCTGAAAGCCCTGCTTGCTCAGCCTATGGATCCAGCTGGAGGTGGGGATCGTGGGGTGGCCTGCAGTTCCGCCTGGCGCAGATTCTGCTGTTATTTTCTGGGCCTAAATTACCCCCATGGAATTTACCTTCGGAAGGGAAAACAGTGAAACAGATAAATGAGCAAAACTAATGGAATTTTGCATGTGAGATATAAAGGACGGGAGCAGGAGAGGGTGGGAGGCCAGGGGTGCCCAGTGGACACCAGGGCTGGGGAAGGTCCGAGGCAGTGCTTTCTGGTATCTGATTTATGGTATCAGATTTGGTATCTGAGAACTCAGAGAGAGAGAGAGAGAGAGAGAGAGAGAGAGAGAGAGAGAGAGAGAGAGAGAGAGAAAGAGAGGAGGGAACCGGCTCACTTTGCCCCAAGTACAGACGGCCTGATGCCCAGGGTAAAAGGCACTGTCTGTCCAGTGACACTCTGGACCCTGTTGGTACTCAGCCCCAGAACACCAAGGCTTTTACCACCATTGTCTCGCCCTGATCGCTTGCAATATTTGAAGTGAAAGGCGTTGAATTTCTAATGATACTGTGCTTTCTATTTTTGTTTGTTTTGTTTATCTTTTTGAGACAGTGTTTTACTGTGTAATTCAGGCCTTGAATTCACTTTGTAGCCCAGGCTGGCCTCGAACTTGCAGTGATCCTCCTGCCTCAGCCTCCTGGTGTTGGGATAACAGGGGTGCACCACCACGCCAAGAATGCTTTCTAATTTTATTATCTGACATTCTCTGGTGAAAATTCCCCTCCCTCTCCTTCACTGTGGATGTTAGGATCTTGCCTCTCCCTCTACCTCTCTCTCTGACCCTGTGTTATCATTTTGGCATCTTTCTGAGTGAATAAATATGTACCCTGCCCCAGACTTAAAATGAGCCATTTCCTCCAGGGACCATAGGTTCCTCTGGGTGGGCAGTGACACAGAAACAGTGAGCTGGATGCTGCAGGGACTCATGGTTCCTGGGGTGTCCTTGCTCTTGGGCCCTGGCAGCTTACAGAGGCAGAGGGTATAAAAAGCCATGCATTCGCACTGCTGCCTCCACCACACCAGAGAGTTCTCCTTGGCACCCCCAGCTCCCCACACCCCCTATACTTCTGCGCAGTCCCGTTCCCCACATTGGTGCCTTTCTCAGTCACTGCCTGGGTTACTCAGCTTTCCGTTACATTAGTAAAATAACTCAGAAGTTGAGATAATCAACTTAAAGGAGGAAAGGTTTAACCAGCTCGGTTTTGGAGAGTTGAGCCCATGATGAGTTTGTCCATCTATAAGAAGGCCTGTGGTGGCACAGTATGTTGGGGACACACGGCAGAGGACGCTGGTTATCTCATGGTGGCTGGGAAGCAAAGAGAGGGAAAGGAAAGACCAGGTGCTCAGGTCCCCTTTGAGACCTGCCTTCCCTTGTCCCGGGTTCAGCCACCTCACAGTAGTGCCATGGAACGGGGACCACACCTTCAGTCCACATTTGGGGTCCAAGCTGTGGTCCTCTCTCCTGCAGTCTGCAAGGTCCCTCATTATGAGGCTGTGGGGCGAGCACAGGGAAGCTCAGCGGGTGGCGGGTGAGCTGGGTGTTACCCCTCAGGGCTCCTGAGATGGACGGGAAAAACTTTGGGGAGCTCTGAGCTCCTCCCTTGCTTCCCTACTCACAGGGAAGCCTCACCTCTAGAGCTGGAGTGACTCCATCAGGTGGCTTATGCCATGGCCCACTTCCACCCCCAGTACCCTGTTGTCTGCCCACCCACCAAGGCCTTCTGTGCATCCTGAGGCTGATGCTGTGACTCTCCATCCTTGTCACATGTCTGTGCTCCACATCTGTGCCTGAGCATTATCCCACAGATCTTTATGTGGCCCAAGCCACGTCCTCGAGAGCCTTGCACTTGGTAAGAACTTGAGGAGCACCTTCAACTTCCAACAAGGACTCAGAATCCAACTTACGATGCTTTGCACTTGGACTTAAGTTTTGTCATCTTGTCTTGGCAAACTGTATGGGGCGGTCCACTCTCCTACCCCTCTGGCCTCCATCCCTCCTGTACCCAAAATCGGTGGTTTGCAAGATCTCAAGGACTTAGCATGTTGCTTTATTTATGGCTAAGATGTGTTAAATCTGATGACTGCAGAGCAAAATCACTGTGTTAGCTTTCTGTCACTGTAACAAAATGCTTGAGGGAGTCATTTTACAGGGAGGAGGGTTGATTCTGGCTCACGGTTTCAGAGGTTTCAGTCCATGGTTATTTGGCTCCATTGACTTGTGGTTGGAGCACAAGGGAGAAGACACGGACCACCTCTTGGCAGTTGGGAGCAGAGAGAAACCAAAAGGGGCTGAGATTCCCAATATCCCCCTCCAGGGTGAACCCCAGTGACCCAACTTCTTTCCACCAGGCCCCACTTCCTAAAGTTATTCCCGATAGCACCCTGGTCTGGGAATCAACCTTTCAATACATGGGCCTTCAGGAAAGACCCCAGATTCAAAATGTAAGAGCAGGCAAAGGGGAGGTACATGGGCAAAGTTCAGGACATGGTAGTTTTCAGAGCCTCTTTGCCATCACGTGGGACGTGCTGAATTCTTCTAGCAATGAGTATGACAGCTATGTGAAGGGTCCTCCGCCAGGAGGCTCAGCATCAAAGGTCTTTACCAGGGCTCTGTTACCCATGCCCCTCCTCCGTGGCATGTAGCACAATTCCAGGTTCCCGGGAAGGAAGGAGGGATCAGCTTGGGCCATGGCATTGGCACAGACAGTTCAGACAGAGTGAGTCACACTTACGGGTTAGGCAGTGGTACCCCTCCTGGAATCGTTTGCCAGACACTAGCTGAGGCAGACCTCCAAGGCAGGCCATCCTCAGGACTGCTGCATGGGCTAAGCTGGTAACTGTTCTCTGCACCCCACCCCAGTTTTCTTAGGAGGGTGCCACGGCCCAGGGTGGGTGGATGGGCCACCAGGAGTTCATGAGCTTACTCCAAGTCACCTCTTAGGATGAACTGGGAGAGAAGGTTGCAACAGGAAACTCAGTTGACTGAAAAATAAAACTGTTGGTGGAGGGGCTGGGGAGGTGGGAGTAGGTGAGAGACTCTTGGAGGCTGAGGTGGCCAGCCGGGCAGGAGAGACATGGCCACCGTGTTGGTAGCTGGCCTCTGCCAGTGAGCCGGGCTCTGCTGTTGACGTAGATCGGGAGTTAGGGACTGAACCGGACCAGAAATCAGGAGACACTGAAGAGCTACCCACACTGTTCCCTTTTCTGTCGCCTCTCCTTTGTGTCTTGTGGTGTCGAACCATTCTCATAGCCATGGCCAGAAAACAAGTCCCTCTCCTAGACAAACATATGTAATACTTGTGGCAAGACAGGGATTCTAGGAGGAAGAGAAGGACACCAGGGGTCACAGCAACATCCAATTTCCTTTTGTGACAGGAGGACAAAGGCACAAAAGACGAGCTGATTAGTTTTGCAGAGCTTTTGTGTGTGGCCTTGTTAGCTGGGGGATTGTGGCAAGATTTTCAGTGCAGATTTCTGTCAGATGACAAAAACCATCAAGAGCAATGGACCCACCAGGGGCTAGGGAATTGAAGCCACATATGGAGAGCCATCGCTCGAAGTGGATGTCCTCCTTCAGTGACTCCTGGCTCAGGCCCAGGACCGTCTGGTGGGAAATACTGACCTGGACACCTTCCTCCTCTGCAGAGCAAGGCCAGGCACCAGTGAGCCTGCAGGAGGACCCGGACCTTGCAGAAAAGGCCCTTTGTCCAGAGTCAAGGTGGCCTCTGATCAGAGAGGGACAGGCTTTCCCATAGGGCAGGCTCCCTGCTGTTCTTCAACAAATATGGAGAGCCACGCACCAGCCTCCCCTCCCGAGTGGAGGCAGAGCTGGAAGTTGACCGACCATGAGTCACCATCTTAAAATGCTGTTAACTGAGCTGTTAATTCAGCCAGGACAGTATTGTCCCCTACCTTCCGGACATTGGGTGGTGGGGAGAGATATTTCTGGTTTCCTTTCTTGGGGAGGGAAGGTGCACTGGCATCTGCTGCTGACACTGTCCAGGGACAGGACAGCCCTCTGCAGTCACTAGCCATCTTGCTGCAAATGTCCGAAGGGCCAAAGTCAAGCGACTCCTCACAGTTCGGCCTTGTGATGTTCCCTGAGCAGCACCATCTCCCTCTGTCCACAGGAAACCATGATGGACCATGCCTTGCGCACCATTTCCTACATCGCCGACATCGGGAACATCGTGGTGCTGATGGCCAGACGCCGCATGCCCCGCTCAGCCTCGCAAGACTGCATCGAGACCACACCCGGGGCCCAGGAGGGGAAGAAGCAGTATAAGATGATCTGCCACGTGTTCGAGTCGGAGGACGTAAGTGACCCTGGGGGGCGCAGTGCTGGGCGAATCTCCTGGCAGTGGAGGCCTCCAGTGCCACCGTTCGTGTTCTCGGTGGCCTTAGGGATTCTTCCCACACCTTTGGGTTTCTGAAGAGAGTGAGAAGTTTCGTTTCACTACATGAAGCAGGTTCCTCACTGTGACAGCGACTTATAAATCGAGCCATTGGTCCTACCCAAGGGAAGCTGTCTGTTAGCAGGAATCATCTTAAAATGCACCTTTCACATGCCAGGGTTGCGCGAAAAGAGACCAAGAAACCTTGTGGTTGACCTCTGCCTTTGCATATGTCATTTCCCTGCATAGCCAATTTTGGTTTCACTTCAAGAAGTATTTTTGAATCCAGGCATGGTGGTGCCCACCTGTAATCTCAGCACTTTGGGAAGCTGAGGCAAGAGGATCTCAAATTCAAGCAGAGCCTGGACAAACTAGTGCCTTAGTGAGACTCTCTGTCAAAATATCAAGCCGTTTGAGGGTGTGGAGCTATAGCTCAGTGCAAAGGCCGTGGGCTCAATTCCCAGTGCTACCAAGAAAATTGAGGTTTAAAGTACCCTAGGTTTACTAAGAGACCAGGGAGTGGCACACGCTGATTGTCCTAACTGCTCTGGAGGCTGAGGCAGAAGGATCTTTGCTTGAATACAGTTTGGGGCCAACATGGGCACCATAGTAAGACCCCTCTTTAAAAATAAGTCAAGAGAGGGCTGGGGAGAAAAGTGAGCTGCACCCTGTGTCTGGGCCCTTGAGGGAGTTGCACTGAGCCAGCCTTGTGGCTGTTGCCAGACTCGGGGTTTAAACATTCTTTCCCTCCACACCCGTCCCCTCCACGGCAGACAGGTCAATCCAGCTTTTGTCAGGGGCACTGCATTATGGGCAGCAGCATCTGGCCAGGAGGCCAGAACTTTCTTGTTCACACAAGGACCTGGATGACTAGGAAAGGGTCTCCGTCCTATCATGATTATGAAATCAGGTATCAAAACTGTATTGGAAACAGATTTCAAACTTGTAGGTGGGGACAATTATCTTTTTCCCAAAGAAACTGTCACCTTAAAATGTTTTGAAGCAACAGAAAATTTATAGGAGGGGACATTGTTTATATGCAGAGCCACTGGCACATCTGCGCATACCCAGAACCTGTGCACATCTGGGCAGGGGTTTGCAGATACCTGGGGGCCTAGCGATGCCTTGGAGTCCTGGGGCACTCAGGTGATGGGCAGTGTAAGGGAGGAGCAGGCCAACAGTAGAGGGCAAATGGTTGGCGAGTGTGAGAGCTGAGAAGGAGCAGGGACCGGCCCACCCAGACAGCATTAAAACCAACATGAGGGGCCCAGAGAGGAAGCTGCGAGAGAAGCACTGGCCAGGTGGGCCACCTTGTCCCAGGTCTGCTGTGTACAATGGAGCTGAGTCGTGATGGGGCTGGGGCCAGAGTAGAGGAGGCTGCACTAGTGAATGTGCTGGGTACAGCAGCCCAGGGCATGGCAGCTTCCCCTCCCCCTGTCTTGAGGAACCCTGGCCTCCGAAGCCAGCCAGCCTGAGTGGCCTCGACAGCTGTCCCTACCTGGGCTCCAGACTTACAGCAGTGGCACACACAGGCCTGGCTGTGAGCCGGAGTTCTGGGAGCCCTTGCATGATGGGGCACAGAGGGAGCCTTCGACACTGGTCCCCACCCAGGTAGGCAGAAGCCTGGCACAGGGCAAGGAGGACTTGGCGGCCATCAAGGTGCAGGGGTTTCCGGCTTGTGCTGGAGAGGGTGCAGTGCACACATCCCCGGGGAATCCCCTCAAGAGCATCTCCTGGTGAGATAATGTGGCCCAAGGAGGGGGCAATGGAAGTGTGGATGCCTAGAGGCCCCCAGATGGAATGCCGGGGCAGCGACCAGCCAGAGTCAGCTAACAGTCAAAGGATGCAATCCTGCCAGACTGCCCTTCCCATCCTGGTGACTCCTTCAGGAGGGGACAGAACAGGCCAAGTTGTGGGGGGCTTTGTCCACGAGACCCAGCTGGGATAGGGCAACCCTCGGCCACCATGTGGCCCCCACCCTGCCTGCAGCCTGCCACGGTCACCTCCATTCTGGCTCAGAGCCCCTCTGCTTCTCCGGCAGGCTCTGCTGCTGTCCAGGCCGGTGGCGCCACCTGGTGGTATCCAGGCAGCCAACTTGCCCACTACCAGCACGCTGGGCTTGATACCCTGTAGTTACTGAGTGCTTCCTGTGGATAGCCAAGGGCCTAAGGTTGGCAGGCCAGTCCCACCTGGAATCTGCACCTGTTTAAGGGAAAGCCTGCAGGCACTGTGACCCTGCAGGAAGCGCTTTTACCTAGGCAGCTTCACTTCCTGCGCTCGAAGCCTGTGTTGTATGGAGTGAGAGAGGAACATAGGCCAGTCCCCCCCTTTCACCTGTTTTCAGATTCTGTCCAGCCAAATTCGGCTGTGCAGAGCCCCCACCACGGCAGGTGGAGGCTGTGGGGAGCACAGGGCAGACCCTCCGGTTTGGGCTGGGGAGAGGCCTGAGACACCATCAAGAGCCCCTTGGCTCTTCCAAGGACCTCACAGCAGGCGGCCTGCTGGGCGGGTCTTCAGCCCTTGATGCTCCCTGTCCTCTGTTGCACCTGCAGGTGGCAGGCAAAGCCCTGCTTGCCTGCCTGCCGTCTTGGCATCCAGGCCCATGCTCTGCGTACCGCAGCGCATCCTCAGGAGCAGTGCAGTTGAAATAGGAAATAGTGATCCGTGCCAAGGGGCCCATGCTGTGTCCCCAGTGGTCAGACGCACCCCAGCTAGAGAGAAACCCAGTCAGCGCTCCTGAGAAACGAGTGTAGAATGGACAATAACTGTCCCATCTGTGACCGTCCCAGGAAAACACTTCTGATCTGTTTTTGGAATAAGACGGAGAAAGTAAAAATGTACTTAGCAGTTGAAGTGACAAAATGTTACATTTGGCAAAAAACTTCATCATCTTCCTCGGCTTGGTTTGAAACCATGCTTTGAGCTGGAAGGTCTGGGACACACGATCAAGACCGGGCCCTCATGGTCAGGCAGCAGGAAGGCTCATTCCATGGGCACATAGCAGGTATTGGTCCTAGACGCTTCCCCAGCCGGGTCACAGGGACTGTCTTGGTTGTTTAAACCGGAGTCTCCCCTTGAGACTTACAGGGTCCTCCTGCACCCAGCCCTGCCACAGCCCAGCTCCCCGGCAGCCCATGTGGCCTCGGCTCTGCACCTGTCCCTACAGCCCGCTCTCGCCTGCAGGCCCAGCTGATAGCCCAGTCCATCGGGCAGGCCTTCAGCGTGGCCTACCAGGAGTTTCTGAGGGCCAATGGCATCAACCCCGAAGACCTGAGCCAGAAGGAGTACAGCGACATCATCAACACCCAGGAGATGTACAATGATGACCTCGTCCACTTCTCCAACTCCGAGAACTGCAAGGAGGTGAGGCGCGCTGCCGGGGTGCAGGGAGCCCATTCTGCTCCCCACCCTGAGCTTGCAAGACGGAGCCAGGCTGCCCCTGAGAGGGCCCGTCCGGACGGCACCCGGGGTGCCCCACGAGGGCACAGCTTCCCTGGTCTTCACACACACGGCTGCCTCTGCGTCAGACGCAGGCTGCCTGCGGTGGAGGCCTGGCCCTTGCCTCAGAGCTGAGCGCTTGTCTGTGAAATGAGACAATTCCAGCGAAGACACTGATTACAGTCAGTCTTAATGACCTTGCAAATGTGCTTTTTAATGCTGCTATTACCATCAGTGGGTGCTCAGCAGGCAGGAGATATTTGTGAAAAGCCAGTGGGTAATATCTCCATGACAGGGAACTTGGGTCTGCTAGCAGGGCAGTGTGAAGCTGCCAGGAACAGAGGCCTTAGGAGGTCCCAGTGGCTTCCTTCTGGTGTCACCCAGCACGGTTCTACAGGACAGAGGAGTGAATATCCCAGATGTGGCCCATTCCCTGAGCCTGTCTACCTGTCAGAGAGCCAATGGGTGATGCTAAATAGTTTTTGAGTCTGTGACCTAGCTACTTACTGAACAATCCTGAATACACCACTGGCGGTTTTTTGAGAGAGGCGTCCTTGAGACAGAGAACAGGCAGGGCCATCTGGATGAGAGAGGTCAAGTCAGGGATGGGGTACTAGGGTATTAGCATCTGGGCCTGGGAGAGTCCATGCTGGGCATGGGAGGAGAGGGGCACTACTGTCAGATTACAGGACTCCTGCTGGGCCCCAGTGGGGCCTGGAACCAGAGTAGCCCAGGCCTCTCCAACCACCCCACCCCACTGTACCGCCCGGCTGAGAGGTGCTGGCCGTGGATCCCAGGGTGGAGCCCCTGGCAGGCCAGACCCAGCTCCTCCTCTCACACTGTGAGTTCCCTTGCAGCTGCAGCTGGAGAAGCACAAGGGGGAAATTCTGGGCGTGGTGGTCGTGGAGTCGGGCTGGGGCTCCATCCTGCCCACTGTGATCCTGGCCAACATGATGAATGGAGGCCCGGCTGCCCGCTCCGGGAAGCTGAGCATCGGGGACCAGATCATGTCCATCAATGGCACCAGCTTGGTGGGGCTGCCTCTCGCCACCTGCCAGGGTGTCATCAAGGTGGGTGCCTGGGACCCTCTGTCATGTTTGCCCCAGCCCCATGTCACATGACCCATGTGGACACTGAGGCCCGCAGAGAGTCAAACCTTGAACCCAAGACTACCAAGCCTGAAGTCTCAGACTCTCCAGGGAGGGTGATGGGGCAGGTTTCATCTCTCCTAGCTCAGCGCTGCCCACAACCACTCCAGGCCAAGGGCTGAGGACGTGAGTGTGGGATGACCAATCTGTCCCAGTTCACCAGAGATTAGGGAGCCCTTGGTCACGGCAGCCTGGGGCAGAGGTCACCCTACACGGCTGGGTGATAGGAGGCTGGCAGCCTCAGGGAAGGAAGGACATGCTGACCCACTAGTCCAGGAGCTTTCTGTCCCTGGTCTGGCAGAGGGGACACAGCCGGTGAGGGTAGGCACTCACTCCGGCCCCTTGGGCTGGTTCCCAGCTGGCTGTGGCTGTGGTGCTGGAGGTTCCCCTCCCACTCCCCTCTTTCAGCCCAGAGGTGAAGGGCTTTCTTAAGGCCAGACATCCTGGTCACCCCTGCCCCTGCCCCTGTGACTCCCTTGGCCCCAGACCTGCAGCCCCAGGCATATGCAACAGCCATGTCTTAGCCAGAGGCCGAGGTGACCCTTCAGCCTTGATGCAGCCCACAGAGCCCCTGGTGTCCTAGGTGCTCAGTCTCCCACATCTGTGACCCCACCCTGTGAATCCGTCAGGGGAAGGCATTCGGTTCTGATCAAGGTGTGCTCACGATCTTTTCAAAGAGAAGCAGGGCAACAGCCCCTGCTGTTACCCCTGAGTGCAACCCTGGTGCCCAGCACCCAAGTGGTTTATTTCTACCCAGATCATAAAGTGCATCTAAGCACGAGGGCCACGGAGTGTACTGTACTCCAGTGTCTGGCTGCTGTCACAGGCCAGGGAGATGTTCATCAGGGTGCGGGTGCACATGATGTCCACACTTGGCCTGTGACTCCTGTCCTGTGTCATGCAGGGCCTGAAGAACCAGACACAGGTGAAGCTCAACATTGTCAGCTGTCCCCCTGTCACCACCGTCCTCATCAAGCGACCGGACCTCAAGTACCAGCTGGGCTTCAGCGTGCAGAACGGAATCGTGAGTCCACCTGCCCCACTAGGCTGCCTCTGCTGCATGTCGGGTCTGGGTTCTGGAGGGGCAGGGCCACAGTAGCTCCCGTCGGGTGAGGTAGGTTGTGCCAGCCCCCGGCTCCATGGGCAGGGGCTTTCTGCGGCTCTGAGGACAGACAGACAAGGAGGCCCAGGTGTGCTTGTGGAAGGGGTCCTTCCAGCCCTCTGCGGGACCGTGTCCCAGTGAGGGCTGACTTTGGCAAATACCTGCTTAGGAAATGAGGAAAACAGGCTTTCCTGTTACAGTGGCTACAAATTCTGGTTCACTCATTAATTCATCCACCTGTTCGGCAGCCATTTGTGAAACACTTGTTCTGTGTCGGGTTCTGGGGTAAACACCGTTGGTGTCAGGAAGGATTCTGTAGGACTGGCTTCCTGTAAATGCTGGTCTAACCAGAAATCTGTGCCCATTTCTCAGAATTCCCATCTCCCCTTTGCCCTGAGTTTGGCTGGAGTGAGTTCCCTTCCTTGGTGTTTCCTCCGACGAAGGTCTCAGAGGAGGGAGTCAGTTATGCCTGCGTGGCCAAAGCTGCCCTGAGTACTAAGGAGCTGAGGAGGCTGCAGGGTCCAGGGGAGAGAGGCGGCTGTATGTGCTACCAGCAGTGCAGCGGAAAGGCCCTGGGAGAACATTCTGGAATGTTCTGGAGAGAGAGCTTGTGAGAGATTCTCCAGTGTATCCAAAAGCCAGGCTCGGGGTGCACAGAGCCAGGGTAGAGCTGTATCACAGAACGCCGTGCTGAACGGGGAGGAGCGAAATAGAGGTGGGGAGGGGAGCTCTGGTCTGTGTGCGTGAGGGGCCAGCAGGCTGCAGGTAGTGGACTTCCAGAAGTTTTGGGGTGTGGGGGTCAGAGTAGCCACAGATCTAGGTTTTGTGGGACATGGAATGGCGGGGAGGGAAATAATGCACAATTCTGAGGATGAAATCGTAGGCCCACTCCTCCAAGTCAGAAGTGTGCAGGACAGGGGTCCTCAGGGGCACCGTCTGCTTCCGAGTGCCCCTGACGCTGGTCAGGGTCTGAGCTCCAGTGTGATGCTGGAGGACCCAGCAGGTATGGAGCTGTGAGGGCACCACTGCGGGTGAGGAACACATGGGCCCCAGCCCTACCAGCTAACGGGCTGTCGTCTCCCCGTCTTGCCTCAGCTTTCCTGTTTGTGAAATGGGGTCACACTTCCTCTAGGTCCTGTGCTCAGGACTGTGGGGTAAAGCTGGGACCAAAAGGAGCCCTGTGTGGTGGCTCTCGGGGGCTTCCCTGTGGGCCGGCAAGGGTTCCATCTGAAGCAAGCTAATCGGCACGGCCTTGGGCTCATTATGATCTACCTTCCCAGTGGCCCGGACCACAGGGTGCTGGCAGTACCCACGTCAGCCACACCAGGGTACCCAGGTCACCAGTGCTGACCCCATCATCTGTTCTGTCCTTGAATGACCTAGCTCAGCACTCTGGGTGCTCAGAGATACAATCTGTCACAGTAGCTTCCTCCTTTGTGGGCGGCTGCTGCCAACACTCACCACAGGCCGAGGCCTGTCCCCTGCCCCAGGCCACTGCCAGGTCTGATGCCACCCTGGCCTCCACCCCTTAGCTGGAGCCTCAGGGGAAGAGGAGTTTGGGGAAACATATGGGAGCCCTGGGACTGCTGATACTGAAGTCAGAGTCCCTTGCCTCCCACAGCATGGTCAGGATGACACCAGGGGTCACGAGGGCCTCGGTTCCCATCCCTCTCAGCTCCGCAGAGGGACCTGGCTTGGTGCCATGCACTCCTGGTGCCCACTGGCCCCACAGCAAGGCCTGGCACAGCTCCCCCAGGTCCGGTCCTATTCGCCCAGCCTGAGTGTTTCCTCCAGCTGACCTGGGACAGCCACGAGGTGACTGGGGTGCTGGGAGCAGCTGGCCACACACAGGGAGTCCTGACCGTGTGTGGCGGTAGCTGGGAGGTACGGATGCCAGCTCAGAAGGGGCATTTGCTGGCTCCCTCCCACAGCACCGTGGCTTCCTGCTGACTGCCCAGAGATGCTTCCTGTGGCGAGTGGTGGGGCTTAACATGCAGGCGAGCAGTTAGCTTAACCTGCCCGGCACTAGGCCAGGTCCCATCTGGGTGCAGCACCTGAGGGCAAGCTGAGGGGGACATCGGCACAGGGGCCTGTGTGTCTGCCAGGGTGTTCCGGGTGGGTGCGCCTGGACCTCCTGAGCTCCCGGGCAGTGGCTTTGTCCTAAACCTCGGGGCAGCCTGTCCCTGCTACAGAAAGGCCCCCCCCCCACTTTTCTTTTATTCCCAACTCCCTCAGAACATCTGTTTCTCGTGTTTCTGTTTTCTTAAAATTGTGATAAAATACACACAACATCAAATTTGCTGTCTTCACCATTTTGAGCGTACAGTGCAGAACTCCTGAGCAAGGGTCTCCAGGTCTCATCTGACAGAACTGAGGCTCTGCCCCCATTAAACAGTGGCAGTGCCCCGTTCCCCCCCGCACCCCATGGCAGCTCCCTTGATACTTTTTTCAATGAATTTGGTTTACTCTGTGCACCTTATAAGTGGAATCAAATAGCATCTGTGTTTTTCCCACTGGCTTGTTCTACTAAGCATGCTGACCTCAGAGTCCACCCATGTGGCAGCTCCTGTCTGTTGTCTCCCTTCCTTTTTAGACTGGATGGTGCTCCATTGTGTGGATGTTGGGTTTTATCCACCCCTGCATCCCTGCATCCGTTCATCCCTGCATCCTTCTATCCCTCCATCCCTCCATCCCTTCATCCCTGCATCCCTCCATCCCTCCATCCCTTCATCCCTGCATCCCTCCATCCCTCCATCCCTGCATCCCTCCATCCCTGCATCCCTCCATCCCTGCATCCCTCCATCTCTGCATCCCTCCATCCCTGTATCCCTCCATCCCTGTATCCCTCTATCCCTGTATCCCTCCATCCCTGCATCCCTCCATCCCTCCATCCCTGCATCCCTCCATCCCGCCATCCTTCCATCCCTCCATCCCTGCATCCCTCCATCCCTGCATTTCTCCATCCCTCCATCCTTCCATCCCTCCATCCCTGTATCCCTCCATCCCTCCATCCCTGCATCCCTGCATCCCTCCATTCCTCCATCCCTCCATGCACAGCACTGCATTGCACAGGTGCCCAGGTGTCTCCTTCCCAGCTATCACAGGTGCTTGCAGTCCCTCTAATCCATCTCTCTGGGGTCAGTTTCAAGGTCCAAGAAATGGAAATCCACCACACTACCAGAAACCTCCGCGCCCAGATCATGGGCATCCCTGTGGCAGCTGGTGTCCAGAGTGGCATTAACTGTCACACTTCACAGATGGGGACCCCGGGGACAGAGAGGTGAAGTAACTTGTCCTAGATCTGCTAAATGAATAGTGACAGAGTAGGGGTGAAAAGGACCCGCCTCCTGCCTCTTTGCATGATTTCAGGGTGACAGTGGGGGGACACGTATGGATCAGTATTTTGTCTCTAGTGCCTGGGACTTCAGTACCCAAGCATCGGAAGTGCATAGATCATCACTGGATAGTTTGGTTCTGGCCAGCAGTCAGTGTCCCCTCGCCCTGAGCCTGCAGAGCCACAGTGCCCACAGGCCGCTCTGTCCCATGCAGTGGGTCCCCCGAGTCTCCTGCAGAATTGTACCCACATTGGAGCCAGTTTCGCATCAGTGTTTTCCATTTTCAGCTTCATGACATTTAATGCATTGGTGTACAGACAGGCCTGGGAGGAACTCATTAATGCTGTTTGCAAATGATCCCACCTCTCTCTCCTCATACTATGGCCCAAGGTTTTAGCAAGTCTCCTGCTTGGAAGCGCTAGGCCACCTTCCTAAAAGCGCACATTGTGAAGGTAAAATGTGCCGTGGTCCTGATCCCTGTGGGGCGTGCCTTGCCTTGGAAGGCTGCTGTCTTGTGAACATGGATGTCACATCCCAGCACCTCCTGCCCCCTTCCTGGTTCCAGATTCCCCTCAGTTCAGTCTCAGTTCCCCCCAGCCCAAGGGCCTGGGCTCTGGGGTGATACTCAGACCCTGCCTCAGGAGTCCAGATGACCAGTGGCCATACCTGTGTCCCCACTCAGGATAGAAGGAATGTCTCCTTCCAGAGAGAAGGGTCCTGAGTGCTGGAAGTTAAGAGCTGTGAGTGCCACTCCACGATGCCCACACATGTGGTCACTTTGGAGAGGCCTGTGGTATTTGTGAGCAGATGAAACTCACAAAATAAATGGCAGACAGGAGTCGCACAGGAGCTGCCAGGGCCTGCCTGTGGGCAGTGAGCTTCTGAGCCTGTGTCAGCCTTAAAGAGATGCCATGCCAGGGACAGAGGGCGGGTTCAGGGACGGGAGCACAGCTGACCATGGCCTTTTTAGGGTGCTAACCAGCCCTGGGCCATCGTTCCTTGGCTTTCAGATGTGGGGACCCCTAAAAAGTCCTTAGAGCATCAATGGGATGATAGTGAAAGTCACACTGGGGAATCCCAGGGACAAAAGCCCAAGGCTCTTAGATGCCTTTGTGGGCAGCTTGTAGGGGCAGGGTCACTAGGCTACTGGCCGTGTCCCTCGTGATGCTCCTGGGCTCCACCTTCTTCATCTTCAGACCCAGCTGATGGGATGTAGCCCTGGGCCATGGTGCCGAGCGTGCGCTGAGGACGGGGTGGGCACTGAACCCAGTGCCTGGAGAGTGGGAGGGGGCCCTGGGGGCTCATTGTACGTACTGAACTATCTGAGGGTGGCCAGGGGAGAGAGGACAGAGACCTCTGGGTGTGAGCCTGGCTGCTCTTGGGACGCCTCTGCCCCAGGGAGGTGGCACCCTGTTCTGTGGACTCTGCCTGGCTTGGCCAGTGTGTGTAGCCCAGGTCCTAGGATGCAGCTGGCAGTGGAGGAGGAGGTAGCACCCCGAGTGGTGGCAGGAGCCCGGGACTACACCTCTTTCTCCCCTTGGAAAGGTGTCCTCACTTCTGTGCCTTTTGGGGGCTCTTCAGGGCTCAGGAATGCTTTGGGGGGCCTCTGGGAGCCATCAGCTCTTCGCTGTGAGCCCGCAGGCCTCCCCATCAGGTTGCTGTCCCCTCCTGGGTATCTCAGTAGATGTTCACCTTTCTAATTCCTTGTTTTTGGATGAATTTTGCAACCCATCGAGACAGATGTGCAGGCTTCAAAGGGCCACTTTCCCAACACAGTTCATGAGTTTATCACCACGCTCCACCTCAGGAGCTGGGCCCAGGGACTGTCTGCCCTTGAAAGAGGTCTCTGGGGTGGCATGGCTGGTGGAGAACCGTCCAGATCATGTGGCCTCTGTGACATCACTGGCCACCCACATTCCGCCCGCCCCAGGAACCACAGCTCCCAGATGGCTGGGGGGAAGGGGCTCTGATTCTGGCCTGTGCAGTCTGAGCACTAGGATGGTTCCCCCCCCTACACACACACACACACACACACACACACACAGATATCATGGCCCTGGGCATTTTAAAAACATGTGTCACCATGAACTGCTGTATTCACACACTCAGGAGCTGCATGTAGAGGGATTTGCCCTTCGGGCTCTTCTCTGCATGGCATTTCTGTGCGACCATCCTTGGGAAGCACCCAGGGGCACGGCAAGACCCTGCTGACCCGGCTGTGTCTGCTTAGATCTGCAGCCTCATGAGAGGGGGCATTGCTGAGCGTGGTGGGGTCCGTGTTGGCCATCGCATCATCGAGATCAACGGACAGAGTGTGGTGGCTACAGCGCACGAGAAGATCGTTCAGGCTCTGTCCAACTCGGTCGGGGAGGTAAGGCCGCTAATCTCCCTGCCATGCCTTCCACATTTCTGGAGTCAGAACCCCACACCTTTTCCATGACTAACGTCTAGCCTGATCTGGTGTCCGATGTGCTTGGGGAAGCCACTGGGCCCACTCAGGGAAATCCAGCCTTCCTAGGATGCCCTGCCCTCCCAGACCTTAGGCCCACCTCTGTGTGCTGAATCACATTTTCCTCGCCTGGATCTCTGCAATCCAGCTCCTTTGTGGGGGCTACTGGGCATCAGCTGAGCTGGCCAGCCCGTGACAAGGATGAACAGAGTGGCCGGCAGCACTTGGCTCTTCCTCGGGCCCTATGGAGCTGCAGACAGGAGGGCAGAGGCTGCTGGGCAGGCTCCTCGGCACTGTTTCTGGAGCTGAGTTTGCACACCCAATTGAGGACCCACTGCCTGCAGGCCTGGTCCTCCAGGGCATGGCTCTGCTACCCACCTTGGGGCTGGGCCCTGCCTGCTGCCTGCCCACCCAGAGCAAGGCTCCAGCGACTTGTAACCTTCCCCCTCCTAGTGCTGTCTGGTGTCATTTCCCTGACAGGGTCACGGGGAGGGAGGCTGCGGGTCCCAGGGGGAGCACAGTTGTCCTCATGGACACATGAGCAAGAGGCCATTGAGGGCAGCGCCACAGCACACAAGGAGCCTTCCCCTGTGGGAGTGATACGTGTGTGAGTGTGCATGTGTGTGTACGTCAGTGTGGGCAGTTAGGTGAGGGGAGATGTGGGGAATGGTATGGAGCTGTGAGTGTGAAGTAGGGGTACAAGTGGGATGTGTGAACCTGTGTGTGTGAATGTGTGTGCGTGTAGGAATAGCAGTGTGAACATATGTGTGTATATGACTGTGGGTGTGAGCGTGGGTGCTTGTGTGGACAGGACCGTGGGTATGAGTGTGGGAATCTGTGTGGATAGGTGAGTGTCAGTGTGTTTGTGAGGGTCTGTGTGCATGTGTACAGCAGGTGTGCAGTGCTCCCCTTGGTGGCCATATGAGGAAGAGGCCCTGGCCTCCATGTTCCCTGTTTGTGGGTGGAGGTGAGGGGCGCTGCTCCCTGAGGAGAGGCTCAGGTCACATCCCGAAGGGTGTTCATGGGTCCCTCTTCAGACAGCATTGAACACTGGCATTTTGCTGCCAGAGATGAGGGAGAAGGCCCATGTCCCCCAGGACGGGTGGTGGCAGTGGCTGACTCTCAGAAGGAAGAGTCCAGGGAGGTGCCGTTAGCTTTCTCTTAGGAATGGCTTCCAAGAAGCAAAATCCAATTTTCCTAAGTAGATGGTCAGCAATGGCTGCCCCCCGGGAGGGCTTGGCCTTATGCTCAGGAGGGGAGGAATCAATGCAGTGGGAAGCCGGGCCGGGAGCCCTGGAAAGGATCTGGAGGCTTCAGCCTGAGATGAATTGGTATTCATGGAGGCAGGCCTGCAGGCCTTGGGGTGTTAGAATCCCGGCCGCCAGCGGGGCTGGGAGATTAGTGTCGGCCTGCGTTTTCCATCATGCCTGAGCACATTTGGAAAATTAGTCACTGATAAGTCCTGAAGTTGAGACGTGCCTCGGGGATGGGTTCAGATGGAGGAGTGACCGAGAAGGAAATCCTTTGATGGAAAAAGCTGTTGTAGGTGATGGAGGAGCGAAAGTCTGCATGGCTGGGACGAATCCTGGTGGGGCAGAACTATCCTGCAGTGTGGACCTGAGGAAGGACCGGCCTAGGGGCAGCTGGGCATTGGAAGCAGGACAGACCAGAAGCCAGAGTCAGCCAGAACTCTCACCAGAAGGGCATCTGCTCAGTGATCCCCCAGGAAGGGGGTCTCTAGACACCCTGCCCCTTGGGAGCCAGTTCCCAGCCCTGGAGCACTTGCCTTAGCCAGGTCGTTTCTGGGAAGGGGTGTGTGTCCTTCTTTCTCAGGACACAATGCCTTAAGGCTTCTGGAGGGTTCCCCCAGGGTGCCCCTCAGCTGAGTGGGCAGAGTATAGTCACCAGTGAGTCCCCTCCCCTCTCCATGTCAGCTTGACCTGCAAGGACAGTTAGCACTCGGTGATGTATAAACCCTTTAAAGTCAAGGTTGGGGAGCCAGGTCTGTCTGCTGTCTACGAGACTGGAATTCTAAACAAACAGCCCTCGTGGGTTTGGGCATCTGTTGCTGGTGTCCTTTGATGGCACTGAGAGGAAGGAGGGCAGAGGGTGGCAGGGACTGACAGGCCAGCTGAGGGGCAGCTCAGCTTCCTGTCTCTGTTGACAGATTCACATGAAGACCATGCCTGCCGCCATGTTCAGGCTCCTCACCGGCCAAGAGACCCCACTGTACATCTAGGCCCACCCCGCCTCTGCCATGGAGCCAGGGATGCCAGCAGGCCTGCCTGCCCACCACCGGATGCCAGGGAAAAGCCCTGACCCCTGGCCCCACAGCCCAGCCAAGGACACTGGCTCCCCCAGAGGGCGTGCCCTTGCCACCCAATTTGGGGCCTTTTTGTTTGATTTTTTTGTTTGTTTGGGGGGGTTGCCAAAAAGGAGTATGTCTATCAACAGAGAGTCGCAGGAACAAACCTTTGTAAAACATTCAAGTATTCCGCCACCTTCGGCACTGTTTCTCATTTTGACTGGCAAAGGGTATTCCTGGGTCCCTCTGTAGGGTCTAGTGTGTGTTGCTCCTCCCTGAAGCTGTAGAGCTCAACTGTGGGTCCACCCATGCGGCCGTGAAGGGAGCGCTGAGGGACACAGCTCCCAGGCAGTGGTGGGGAGCTTCTACCCTGACCAGGACGCCCAGGGTTCTGCAGGGTCCCGGATGGTCCCACACAGCCAACTCTACCACGGCAACCCCAGGAGAATGGATGTGTCCAGATCCCAGGATGAGACTTGTGCTGACAGTGTGGGGACATGTGATGGACTGTATTCTCCTAGAAAGGAGGTGTTCCTGAGTCCAATAAAGGTTCATGGTCATGACAACACAACTCCATATTTATTTAGAGGATATTACCACGTGGACTTTTGTTTTGGCAAGCTACTCTTCAGACCTTTGGGGTTTTCCAATGACCCGTGACCAACACCTGCTTCTCCTGTCCTGACCTGTTCTCTGCATCACCTGGGTCTCTGAACTTTCCCTGCAACCCACCCTCCCCACCCCACCGATTCTCCACGGTGGGGCTCCCCACAGGGTGGGACATGGTGATTCTGCTGCCAGGACACAGACAGTGGTCTGGGCATCTCTCCCTCTTTAGAGCCTATACACATGTGTGCACACACATACACACACACCCCAGAAAACTTGACCTCTGACCTTCCTGAGGCCACCAGCTGTAAACGCAAATTCCTTGGCAAGCCGGGCATCTGTGTGATGAGCAGTATTAGAGTTTGTATAGATCACGGGACACATGGTCTGGTTCAGCTCATCAGAGCTCAATGTTCACTGGTGTCATTTTGTCTGAAAGTCTCTCTCTTTGGCCCAGGCCTTGAAGAATACACTGTGACTTAAGAAGCCTTACCACGCAGTAACTAAAGCTTTAGGGTACTGTGCTCGAGGAGTAACCTGTGTGTTGCATGCTGCTGACCTTAGGAAGACTTCACACATATCACTAATAAACCTGAAGTCATGGAGAACCGACGATGCTGCTGTGGCTGATCTGTTAACCAAGTGCGCGTGCCCAGCCACCTCTGACCTATGCACTTCGTTGTGGCGGTGCTGTCCCTGTGGGGACAGCTGCCCTCTACTCCTGGGCTCTGGCAGCTTGCACTCTAGATGTGAGGTCACCAGATATGGCAGGCAGGCGGAGGTGTCAGCCGTGATGACAGGTCACCCTACCAGCTCGGAGTTCTCATTTGCCCTGCCCCATGGCTTCAGGCTACTGGTTCCTTAATGGAGGAGACTCGGAAACTTGGGCTTCTCCAGATTCATATTTAAGTCAGCTCCAGGAGAGAGATGGTGTGTGTGTGTGCGTTTATAATACGTGTAGCTGAACTACCTTCACCCCTGCACTTGTCACACCTGTGGGTCCTCCGTAACCTGTCTGGAGTAGTAACCGGACTCAGCTAACCCATCATGTTCATTTCTCCACGACATGGTCCTTGTGGCATGGTCCTGGTGTCATCTGGACAAAGGAGGCCATGAAGTAGACTTAGGCATTGGTCCCCTGGTCACAGGGGAAGGTTCTAGCCCTGTTGGATTAAGGCCCTTGGCAAGCAGGACCCCACCTCTTTGGACCAATCCTGGCTGTGCATACTTCACCAACCTGAGCTACTCAGCAGGTGCCTTCGTGGCTAGGGTTTTGGGGGAACTGTGAAGCAAGCTGACGTGTTCCTGCACGGCTACATGAAGTACCGAGCCTTGGCCATCAGGGACGTGTAAGACAGTCTTCCAGGAGAAACTCCCCTCTCTAGGGTCTCTTCCAGAAAAGAGAAAAAAGCTCAGTCAGAAGCTCCATTAGGAAGGACGGCAGGAATCCCTCTCCCTACCCACATACTGAAGAAGTAAAAGCTAAATTTCTTCACTTTGCTGAGAAACAAACATGCTAGACAACATGGCCCTTAACCTTCAGGAAGAAAAGACACATCTCCTGGACTGCGGCAGCAAGCCGACGAGCCTCTGCTCAGGCAGGCCAGGGGAGTGGTGTTCCTGGGTGCCCAGGTGAGGTCAGACATGAGCTACAGGAGGAGGTCCTGGCTAACCGGTGACATGGGGCACAACTCCCACCAGGATACACATTACAGACAGCTCAACTCGGAGCCACGGGGTTGGCTTGCTCCCAGAAGCCCACAGAGGTGCACTGCAGATCAGCATGGGCAGGATCTTGAGCCTCAGAGGCTTCAGTCCCCATCCCTGGGGCGGAGCTGGGCTGATGTGGGAGCCCCCACTGAGCAACCACAGCAGGGGGGGCGGGGGGGGACCTGAGCTCCCAGAACCCTACTATTGGCCAGTAGTGCTGACAGCCCTCAGCCTGTCTCTGTCCCAGTTAGACCTCAGAGACACAGAGACCAGAAATACTTTTTATTAAAACACTGATCATTATTAAAACACCTTGAGGTACATTAAATAAATACAACCTTTCCAGTTGTACAAACAGGTCTCTGGTGGCTTGAAAACAATTTCCTATACATTCTGCCTCAGCAGCATCTGTGAGTTGAGAGGGGAAAGAAAAAAATTGGAAGTAAGTTTTTGTGGTTACAAGCAGTTCATTGTATTGCCTCCAGCCAAAGGAGACCTTAAGTCCTTGTGAATCACATCCCCCACACCATCATTTGCCAGGCATTTGGAGTCCAGAGCTCAACCACCTCAGCACCCTCACACCACCCCTAGCCCCGGCCTGAGTCAGCACAGCATCGTAGCAGGTGGCAGATCCCTTTCATCTCTCCCCAGGACCCAGCCAAGCTGAGGGGAAGAAGTGACTCAGGGGCAGCCAGAGGGTCAGCGGCTCCCACCCGCCACAACAGGAGCCGGAGACCGGGCTGGGGAAGGGACAGACGCAGCCATGCTGGGGAGGAGACCCCCTCCCCATGACTGGGAAACTGATGCTGCCTGGGGGCTGGGGGTTGCGTCCAGAGTTGGGAATGAGGTGAAGGGTCAAGTTGTGAGCATCAGGGTGGCTGTCACTGGCACCTGTGTCCCCTGGAGGCCATTTGCTGGAAGTCTGGAGCTCTGACCTTCTTAGTGCTCATATGGGTTCCCACGGTTCTGGATGGCAGACCAAGGAGGGCCTATCATCCCCGGCAGCCTTGTTATTAGCAGGCAGAAGGTTCCAGCCCAATGGTACAAAGCTGGGCAGTTTCCTTAACCACAAGACAGAGTTCTTACGGGAGCAAACACACAGCTGAGCATGTGTGCCTGTGTGCCTGTGTGCATGGATGGAGCTTTCTTGAAAATGTTGGGACTGAGACTCCAGGCCACAGCCATCAGTGTGGAAGGGAAACAGCCTGGCCCAAGAGCCCCAGGTGGCACATGAGAAGGCCCTGGGGCAGAGATGCAAAGTGGAGGACACACAGCATGCGGCTGGCCTGTCCAGTGGCCATTCCTCCTTTCTGAAGTAGTAGGGTGGGACTGGCCTCTGCTTGGCTTGCAGCCAGGTCTGAGAGTTGTGGGCTTAGCTGACATGATGGCTTAATCTGCTACAGGGGCCCCCAAGCAAGCACCCCTGAAGCTAGCTGCAGTCCAGCCCAACTCGTGAAAATGATATGAATGCTTTGATTCCAGGGCCAAGGCACCGGGATGTAAATATTCACTGTCTAGGGGCTCAGGGGAAGCCACTCTGAAAAGCCATCAGCTTTACAAGCAAGGGGACTTGCTTTTGGGGACTTTGAAAGCTATCACTTGAGAAAAATTAGAGAATAGATTTCCCATTTTACAGCCTGGATAAAGTATTCATAAACACATCTCTAGTATGTCTCTTGTGGAAAAGATAAGATTGCCATCGAAAAGCTGGATTTACATTTGTTCAGTAACTTCAGGGAGACAATGACCTGTGACAACAAGAAAGCAGTCAAGGCATCGGCACCTGAGCATCACCGGGGAACTCCTGTGCCACCCTTGGGTTGGAAGCCACCCCTTCTCAGCTTCCATAGACAGAAGTGCACCCCATGTTGGGTCAAAGGAAAGGGGGCTAAGGGGTGGGGGATATGCGATGAGGAGGGGGACTCAAGGATAGGCACAGGCCATGCATAACATAGGAAAGAGCTGCACGAGTCCCCAGCTGGCCACCGAGCAATGGTGGGCACCCTCTGATCCACCCAGGACCGCGTATGAGGTTACAGACACTGGGCTGCTTCGTCCAAAGCAGGGCCCCTGCGCTCAGCAGTGCACTGCTAAAGGCTGCCATTTAGCTGGTCCATCACCGCAGGACCTTCTCAGTGGTAGGACATCACAGCAGGACCTTCTCAGTGGTAGGACATTACCAGAAAATGGACTGAGGCAACCAAGAAAGTCAAAGGCACCCAAGCTGTGCCTACAATGTGCTGGCTGCTTCTACTTAACCAACACCGTGGCTGTTCTTATGGAAATAAAGGATGCAGAATCTGTCCCCTCCATTCCAGTGTGCCTCCTGCCACCTGGCTGGGGGAAGGACAGCTCTGGGTCACGAGAGACTGCCTGTTTTAGCAGGAGGTGTACAGTTCCAGAGGAAAAGGCTCTTTTCCCTGCATTTTGATCTAGGTCAGTCAGGTAAGGCTGAATGCCAAAGGGAAACCCCCAAAGGACAACCAGGTGGGTCTTACTGTTATGAGGCAAATAACAGCTCAAAGTGTCTGCTCTTGTCAGAGAGGGAGAGGAGAGGGGATCCTGGGGGAAGCGGCAGGCAGGAGGCCCATAGAGGGGGGCCTTTCTGGGGAGACCTGGGATACAGGAGATGGCGGGTGATACCCACCTTCATCCCAGGAGAGGCTGAGCCACAGGGGTTCCCTGCTGCCTACCTATTTGCCCAGTAGCAGCCCTGTATCCCTGGGGCTAAAGAGCTGGGCCCTGGCAGCTGGTATGCTAAAATTATCTATTTCCTTTTAAAGGAAGTAATAGGTCAGAACATGGTAAAGATTTCATTATAAAGGGACAGAAACCACATGGGAAAATGGCCCCATTCCTCAATGTTGTCCTCTATCTACTCAACATTAAACTAAGTTGAAGATGAAGGAGAATCCTTTCATGGCCCTGCCTTGGAAGATACGTAATGTCTTTAAGTTACATGAGTGTCACCTGTGGCTGCGCTGGTGTTCAGGTCGTGCTGGTCACTTCTCAATGCCTGACAGAACCAAAGTTCTCTAAGGACACAATCATCTTTCTGGGTTCCTAGAGTAGGTAGCAAATATAATCCCCAAGAAGACAACTGATTGGCTCCACCTCAAGAGAATGACCAACAGTTCTGCTCCTGCGGCACCCCAAGATCCTCCTGGGTGTTCCCCACTCGTCCCCTGCCGTGCCAGGCTGGAGGCCCCTCCCCATCACACACGGTGGCTTTGGGTAAGAATAGCCCATGCAAGGTGCCAGGCCCATCCGCGTCCATGTTCACACCTGTGTCTGCTTCACAGCTGGTCCATGACGCCAGCACCAAAGCTGGCCTCTTCCACTGGGCGGTCCTCAGAGGTGACCACCGAGCGGACGGTGCCCACCACGTGCTGCACCTCAGCAGGGAGGGCACAGTGTGAGTGTTCCAAAAACTTGGCCACCAAAACCCTGGTGTCTGCGTAGGCCCTGCTGTCCACCAGTGAACGGGGCCGCTCTTTGGAGACCACCTGTAAGGACTCCGGCTTTGTCTCTTGGTTGAGTTTCCAGGTTTCAGGGTCCCTGGGGGGTGGGAGCTGGTGCTGACAGGCAGCAGTGGCAGAGCGACATGCAGACACTGGAAATCAAGGGGAGAGATGTAGTTTGAAAACAACCGGAAACAAACGCAAACCAAAGGCAGCTGGGGACCTCTTCAGGAAGCAAACCAAGGCGTGTGGAGGACGGGCCTGCTGCCAGCTTTCCCGTGTTTCTCAGAGGGCACCCAGGCAGGGCCTTGCTTCCTGGGTCTCAGCCTGGAATTCAGCTGAGTTTAACCTGGGCTGCAGCCTGTGGGAGTCAAGGGACTGAGCACGGATTTGGGGAGTCTGATGCCAGGCAGGGTGGACTGAAGGGCAGGCACAGCGCTGGACTCTGCCTTCTGTTCACCTCCTGCTAGAATTTCTGAGCATCCTTCTCAGGCTTCCCAGATCCATGACCTTTGTCCCTCTGGGTGTGTCTGCTGGTCAGTGCAGAATGGAGATCTGCCTTAAGACCAGAACTTTCTTCACTACACCAGATGTGGCGAGCAGCCACCAGCCGGGGTCCTGCTGCCCCCCAGTCAGGGGCAGGGGATATGGCTCTGCATCACCCAGAGAACAAGAACTGGGTGGATGGCACCTCGGAGGTGGGTGGCTCCAGGCAGACTCACCAAGAAGCACACCAAGCCCAGCCCCATGCCTGCGCTAAGCCACCCAAAGTGTCCTCATTTTAGGTGGTCTGCACTGGACTATTGGAGGGCAATGAGCAAGTCCAGAGTTAAACATGAGAATGTGTAACAGACTCCCACAGTGGGCCCATCAGCCCCTAATAAAATCTCATTAATAAAAGGAAATAAGGAACCTCATATATGGTGAGTGCATTAGGCCTCTGATGCAATTGCACGGGGTGGGGAGTAGGAGTGGAGGGCGGGGCAGCTTGCATTCGGGTGACAGTGGAGGAGCTGGCTCTAGAGGCAGTGTACCAAAGACCCAAGGGTCACATCCCAACCTCGTGGCAGGGCGATATCAAAGCCTTACCTGTCCCCAGAGCAGCCCGAGACAGTTTCATTTCAAGGTCCTGGCTACACAAAGTGGGGTGTGAAGAGGAATCACCTGAACCAGGACAGAATCCATCAATACACGAAGAGGGACAGGAATTATGATAAAACTATCGCCACCTGCCTGTGGCTAAGATGCACGTTTTAGATGTCAGACAAGCAGAAGAAACCTCTGTGGGAATTTCTGAGATAAAAGGGAACAGGCCTCAGTTGGCCAGGCCCACCATGGCTCGGGCAGTGCCCTGGTCCTGTCCTCCGGGGCTGAGGCAGGCCTGGGTCTCCCCTGGCCCAAGGTCTGGCTTCCCCATGCAGGATGGTAATAGCGTGATCTGCCCTGGAGGAGATGGATGCAACAGGCAGGTGCTGGGATGTAGGGGAGGAATGGTGAGCACATCCTCAGCCCTCACACCCAGCCCCAGGACCCTGCGCTTCCTAGAGCATGAGTTTCACCAGGTGGACAGGGTAAGGAAAGCCAGCTGAGGGCCACAAGAGCTAACAGCTGCACCTGGGGCGTGGGGAGAGAACAGATGATGGGCGTTCAGTCCAGGGCCTACAGGTGAAAAATGTGCTATTTTAACCAGGAGGATCTTCCGGGCATCAACTGCTGTAGGATCCTGGTTCCTTTCAGGAATTTCACCCTTCCCTGGCATGGCTGGACTCTGGGCTATTTCAGGTTTAGCTGGACGAAACCACTGAGGCTCAACTGGTGCAGGTATCCCCTGAGCCTTCTTCAGGATTCTGTCCACCTACTTTATGAAAGTTTCTACTACAATGGGACCACAGTGAGAGGCCCACCAGGCTTCACTGGCAGAAATCAGGAAACCCTCCCCATTATGCATATGAAATTGTACATTTCACACCCCAGGAGAAGGATGGGGTGTGGGTTGTCCAACTCCAGGGTGCCAGATTCCTGAGGAAGCTGGTGTGAAATGCCAACTCCTGGGCTGTTAGCCACAGGGACTGTGGTGCCAGGTCCTGCTGCCCACTGGTACAGTCACAGGGAGGTTCCCCAGTCTCCAGGCCAGACCCAGGAGACTGCTTCAGTGGCTCGAGTGTTGTTTCAACTGTGTGTCATCTGCCCCAGACATGGGGTAGAGGATGCCGTCTCCTCGGACACTGCCTCTGGCCACCAGATGCTGGCTCTTTATGGTCCCTGCATTGTGTGTGCAGCACTCAACGCTGGTGTCTGGGGCTGACTGACCACCTGTGGGCTCTTGTCACCCTAAGTTCCCACATTCTTCTCCATAGAGTGAAACCCCAGTGGGACCACAGTTGGGGTGGAAGCCACCCACTTCTCATCCCCTTCAGAGACCAGATCACATTCCCCAGGCTCCCAAAGCTGGGCATCAACCTGCAGACATCACTGAGACCTGCACTGTCCATGACAGGCCAGGTACACGGGGAACACAGGTGGGCTTGGCCAGCCATACCTGCCTCGCTGGATGCACAGGAGACGGGATCACTGGCAGAGCGGGCCACACGCCCAGAACTGGGCCTTGCTTGTAGGCTTGTATCTGTTGCCTCCGGGGATGCACGGTGGTGGGAGCTTGGGGCAGGAGGCAGGGATGGTGGGGTGACTGCAGTGCCAGCAGGGGACGAGTGACTCAGGCCCAGTGAGGTTGCACCCTCTGATGTTGCGAGGCTCGGACTACTGGCTGGAGCTGCAAGAGAACGCGCTAAGTATTAGGGAACACAACCCTAGGGCCAAGCTGACATGGGACGGCTCCTGCCCTTCAAACCCTGAACCTAACCTGAAATCTCAGGAGCATGGTGACACTGAAGCAGGTGGACAGATGTGGCTGTATGGCATTGAAAGATGGGGGCACCAGATGGACTCCCAGGAAACATGCCAGGAAGTGGGTGGGAGGGACAGAGTCACTTCCTGCTCCAGGAGACTGTCAGAGACTGGAGGCTGTGGTCTCATGGATGCCTGATGAGCAGGGCTTGAGCAGGGATGTGCGGGACTCTGATGGACATCTGGTATCCCACTTAGGACCTGGGAGCCTGCAAATTGGCCTGCCCCGGGCAGGGTGTACAAACCAGGGACTGGAGCACAGCCCCCAGGCCAGGCAGGGAGGATAAGTCCAGCCCACGTGATTCCTACTTTGGTTCTCAAAGATGGTCCCAGGGCCAGCACATGAACCTTACCTGGAAACAAGTCAGAAGTGCCAACCAGGGGCTGGGGGGAAGCTCTGTGGTATAGCACTTGCCTAGCACCTCAAGGAAGGCAGAGAGGGAGAGAAGGAAGAGGGGTAGGAGGGAAAGAGAGAGGAAGGGAGGAAGGGAAGCTAACAGCCAGACCCAGGCCCATAGAATCAGAACTGGTAGTGGGCCTGGCCATCCAGATTGAACAGGTCCCTCCATGGGATTCAGATGCCCGCTGGACTGTGAACTCTGGTGCTCTTGGCCAGTGACACTGGTCAGCTTGGGCTCCTGCCCTTCCCACTGTGAGCCTGGCACCACAGGCTGTGGATCAGAGACTGACCCTGTGATTCACAGGGACCTGTGTACACACCACACCAGGCAGTGCTATGGGTTACCATTCTTGAATGAGCAGCCACCCGCCGAGTTCCCCCTCAAGCTGGAAGCTGCAAGATGCGTGGCCTGCATGGGGTCCCCTGGTTACAATCAAAGTAGCCGAGGTTCCTCCAGGGGTGGGGAGTTGGAAGTTTAGTCCTTGTATCTATTTCTGTGGATGCTACCAAGAACCAGAACGGCTCACTGTATTTCCCTGAGCTCCAAGTGCCCCCACCAGCTCCCATTTAATCCTCCCTGCTCACCTCCAAGGCAGCCCCAGTTAGTCCCATTCCATAGCCAAGTCTGTGTGCTTGGAGAGAGAAGGGGAGAGGGTCACAGGGCCACCACACGGTGGAACTGGATAGACGAATTAAGAGTATTTTTGCTCAGCCCACTGCTGTTCTCCTTGATAAATAGAAGCGGTGAGCGAGCCATTTGGAAAATCAGAAAAAGACAAAGACACCCTCCACACTGTACACAAAAACAGAAAGCAAAAACAAGCGCAGACCAGTCTGAGGAGGAGTAAACCTTTCTTTTTAAAGACACTATAAAAATGGGAAAATATATGAAAATAAACCTACAGCAGCAGAGACTCGGTAAACATGATAGAAACCGCCAAGGAAAGGTCTGAAATGTTGACAACAAAAAAGTGTAAATCCGTGTATGAAATAAGGCACCATTAAGAACCGGGAAAGGACAGCGGAAACTGATGAAGTACCCTTGTCATAAACAGGCATGGCGTCAGCCTTACACGTATTCTCTTGTGTCTGTTTAAAAAATGTTTTGTTATTAAATCTATTAAAAACAAAACCACCAAAAACTGAAAACAATGCAAGATTTTAAAAGAAAAATCAAGCCAGACCCACACGTAGGTAATAAACATGGGAAATGTTGCTCAAATCCGGTGCTGTGTATGGGTCATTCACCCAGAAGGACGATGAAGGTCATCAGAAAGGACAATGTCCTGGGGCCCCCATGCTGCTGGTGTAGATGCAAACTGGTGACACAATCTTCCCAGAATGCAATGTGGCCAATGTATTAAAATCTGAAACACTCCTTTGGACTCAGAAATTTCACTCCAAAGAATTTATTCCTGGCCATCACTGGGCAAGTGCTCAAAGATGAACAGATCATGTAGACAAGGAAAAACCTGTATCATATCATCAGAAAATTTCAACAGGGCATGGCGACACACACCCGTGATCTAGGTACTCCAGGAGGCTGAGGCAGGAGAACGGAAAGTGCCAGCCCAGGCTGGGTCATTTAATGACCAGGTGAAACCCTGTCTCCAGATAAACATTTTTAAAAAGGCTGGGACCCTAGCTCAGTTGAAGGCCCTGAATTCGATTTTCAGGACCAGATAATCTGCTTCTAAAATGCATACGGACAGGCGCTGGCCCTGGAGTGGCCACATCAATTGGGAAGGATAAACTGGGGATATTCTTGTTCCAGATGTTACGGCTCAGCTCCAAACTATGGTTTGGAGGTGCATGTGATATGGGCAGAGGGACACACAGACAGATCCAGGGGACAGAATAGAGGACCCAAAAATACATGCATATAATATGGTCACTGATTTTTGATTAAGGAACAAAAACAAGAAATGGCAACTGGATATTCACGGGACCAAACAAACAAACAAACACAACTCTCACCCAACTACCCTGGGATGCAGTAACCACCCAGCTGGGAAGCATCTTCCATAGTGAACCCTGCTGGGCGTGCTCTCTTGTGAGCCCCTGTGAGCAGCCCCCGTAAGATTCTGGACCCCTATGAACTGGGCATCTCCCCCAGGAGTCTGGGTGCTGACAGTACCGCCCTTGTATGTGAGTCAAGCTCCAGAATTTATTGCCCAGATCCTAGGCGTGAGGAGGGTCCAGCAGGCCTGAGGAGGAGCAGCCCAGGTTCTCTGGCCCATCGCTGCCTGCCCTGAGGAAGTGAACAGAATGGGCCCCTCGTAGCTCCCAGCCACACCTCTCCAATCATGTTTCCCCTAAGAATGTGCAATGATCAGGCGTCTCATGGCCAGAGGAGTGGGTGCAAAACATACACTTCAGTGAGATGGTGTCATACTATTACAGGGTACGGGGACACTCTGGGCTCCAGGGAGACCCCTGGGAAAGGCACAGAATACCATTTCTAGGGCAGCTTATGAGGGCTTCTCAGAGCGACCATGGGAAGGACAAGGCCACTTGTGAATCCTCTAACTGCAGGAACCCGTGCTCCCTGTGGCCCTCAGGCAGCCTCCTCAGAGGACAGCTGCCTCCTGTCTCTTCAATGTTAGCTACAAATTGAGAGAAGAACAGAGAGCCTGGGACTGAACTCATGGTTCATTTGGTATGTCACGAGGCATCTGACTTCAGATTCCGAAAGACCTGCCCCCGTGATCCCGCCTGGGGTCCCCAGGAAGGGGGCTCTCTGGAAACCCCCAGCTCCTGCCCGTTTGCCCCTCTGCTCCTCAGGCCATCTGTTTATCCGTGCCTCTGGTCATCTCCCCTCTCCAGCTCTACTGCGGCTCCCAGCAGAGGAGTCTGATGCTGCACGTTTGCCCTTCCCTACTCCCAAGTGCATGACATCCAGCCCTCTCGGGAGCTTCTCCCTCAGAAACCTCCAACCCAGCCCACATCATTCCGAGGGTGGAGCTCGAAGACATCAGCCTGGCGTGGCTGCTCCTCAGTTTACAACGGGGTAACATCCTGATTAGCTCATCAGAAGCGGTGAACGGGGTTAGGTCACAAGTACATTCACTATGCCTAACCTGCTGAACGTACATCTAGCCTACCCTAAATATGCTCAGAACACTTACCTTCTAGCCTACAGTTCAACACAGCCTCTTTTATAACAAAGTACAGGACATCTCTCGTAACTTACTGAAAAGATCAAAATTCAACATCGGAAGCGTGGTTTGTATGGGATGTGCCTTTAGGCCATTATAATGTTGGAAAAGCCTAAGTCAGGGACCATCTGTGTCTGACATGTTTGCTCCTGAAAGGGTAGGCTAAACTGAGTAGTGGTTTTTATTCACGTCCATGTTCCTCAAGTGAGACACAAAGGCACTGAGGGGACAGATGGAAAGTCCCCTCCCCAGAGCCATCGTGAGGTCTCCTGGATTTCCTGCCCCGAAGCAGGCCTCGGAGAAATATGGAGAACATGTGTGGTACTTTCTGGGAAAGAATGTACAAACTCCGCCCTCACTAGGAGTCAGAAATGCAGGGGGAAAGGAGAAGAGAAGAAAACAAGGAGAAAAGTGACAGGTTAAAAAATCTAAACTTGGTGTCTCACATCCTGAGGGAGGTACCATTACCTGGTGAGCTGAAGCCGGCCGTGGTGGTGGGGTCCCCAGAGCTGGGCTCGGCCACCTGGTGCTCCATGCTTGTAACCTGCAGCAAGCAACAGAAAGCATCAAGACAGGTCACCAAGGGGGCCCAGGGACATCACGGCAGCTTCCAGAGTGTAGTCAGCCCCGGGGGGATTCTCATGTTCCATGGAGTCAGCCAGCTGCAGGTTGAAAATGTTTGGGGGAAATTTTTCAGAAACCTCTAAAAAGCAGAATCTAAACTTCCATGTACCGAATACAATGTGAGTTCCTGCAAATGAAGGGTGTTGGGGGTAAGCTAGAGACTGAAAGTGTAGGGTAGGAGGGTGTAGCTCATATGAAACACCCCGCCTGCCATATAAGGGAACTTATGGATTTAGGTGTCTGAGGGAGTCCTGGAACCAGTCTTGTGTGGATCATAGAGATGACCTTACAGGCTTGTCTAAAAGCTCATCTTTGAGGGAGAAGTTTTAAGAGACACACATTTCTGCTACTCTCCATTGAATTCCAGCAGCAGTATAGGAGTTGAAGGCACTTTTGCCAAGGTCAAAGCCCATTTCTCTGTCCTCTTGCAATCAAAGCACCTTCCAGAGCCCTTGTGCACACTGAGCCTGCTCTTAGGAGCACAATTTGGGACAAGGAAGACCACACAGAACTGTCCAGAGTTGCTCTGGAACACAGCACAACCCGGCCTCCACTGTCACACCCTGTCCCACCACTCTTTCAGTCTCGTCTTTGCTCCTGGGAGACTAAGACCATGAGACAAACGGCCATGAGACCCATGAGCTTCACACCAGCATGGCTTGGACACAGATCAGGCAACTGGTAAATGGCTACAGACTCCCCCAAGCATACTTGTGCCACCTCCCTTTGGATTTTTTGCAGGGTGGGGTGTTTGCCAAAGCTGGGTGCAGGTCCCAGGTATACAGAGTGGTGCATCACTCAAGTACAGGTCACAAACACAACAGACATGGTAGCTCTTAGTGCCATGGTAGCTCTGTCCTGTGGAAGGATAGCTACACAGCCTGCTTCCAGTTCAAGTCATCAGGGAATCCAGCTTGCTCCCAGTCTGCTCCACCCGCAGAGGACACTGGGAAGAGGGCAGTGCCCTGGATCTTCTGTCCTGTTCTTACCCTGCCTGTCTTCTGTGCCCACAGTTCCCCCCATTCCATCCCTGCCCCCAGGGCACCCTTGGCCCTGTGTGTGAATGAGCTGAATACTACTCACACATCATGTGAGTATGCCACATACCTCTGTGCTAGTGCAGAAAACAATTTCTGATTCCTTGTGTTATTTCAGAATTGCTTTGGGGACACGCTTGCAAATAATGAGCTTCGGAGGAGGCTGGGGAAGGTGAGGCCGGCCCCTGCGGCTTGGTCCCATTCCAGCTCAGGTAATTACATTTCTGCCTCCCTGGGCTCCCACCACTTCAATCAGACAGCTGATATTCTTCCTCTCACCTCCTTCAACAAGGGTGGCGCTAACGCAGGTGGCGCCAGCTGCAGCCACTGAACCCACACGGAGTGTGAGCTGCTCTCCACGTTTGGGGTGGGGGTTTCTGCTCACACTCTTTAGAAAAACACAGTGCTTGCTATTTTTCTTCCTTAGCACTCTCATACTGCTGGGGAGGGAGCCGGGACGGGAAGAATTCACACCACCACCCGCATGTACTTCTTTCCCCCCTCTTTGCTGAAACCACTGTGTGCCAATAACCAATTTTGGAAATCTCTGCCAAGAATCTTCCACTAACTCACAACGCTCTGGAGGTCTGCTGCATTTCACAGCTCTCTTCCCATATCTGATCTTCTATTTGATTTTGGTGGGGGATGAGTAGCAACTTAGAAACCTGCTGCTTGGGGGTAAAAAGCTTCTAGTAATAAAGAAATATAAATAAAACAAAAGAAATGAAATACACAGTGGGACAAGGTCAAGAGGAAACTGGATTCATTTTGTATTTCATGGAAGCATCGCTCGCTTCCCTCTGGCTTCCTGGATCCAAGCGTCAGGACCTTGGTTTCTGACGGAAACAGCTCCTGGGAGTGTACCTAGCAAGCCCCGTACCAAGGGTTTAATTCACATCTGGCCTTCCCTTATGGCGGACGCCACCACGCCAAAGTGGAGGAAGCACAAAGTTTCTGCAGCACTGTCATGAACTGTGAAGGCAGGAGAGCCGGGCAGAGAGGAACAATGTCTGCAGCATGGAAGTGAGCTGGAGTTCAGCAATAAAGGCTCAGACACAAAGCTCCTCGCAGAGCGGGGAGGAAGGGGCTTTTGCAAAGAGAGGCTGCATAAGCCAGTGACCCTGGGATTCCTAATCTCAGATATGCTATTTTGAATAATCACTATAATTGAAAGATCAATTGACAATTAGGCAAATCAGCCAGATCTCTCCTTATCCTCTGTTAGAAAGCTTCCTGGTTAACCCTGTGTAGAAATTCTGCCCTGTTTCTATAATACGTTTCTACCCTGGGTGAAGTTAACCATCTAGTCCCAGAATTCGGAAGAGCTGTCACTTAGGGGCAGTTACCAGTTATCATGGAAAATCTGACTTACACGTTCAGGGCCATCTTTGAAGACGCTTCCATTATTGATTTTAAAAGGTACAGGTCACCGCCTTTGAACATGTGAATAACACCACGTAGGGCCTCGCGCTGGTGCCACTATACCATGTCCATTTCCCTCTCATGACTCCAGTCCTGTGCTCAGACTTCCCTGTGTTTACCAACTGCCACCAAATAAGAAACAGAATCCCTGAAGCACCGCTGGCTCATTCAACCTAGATGCCAAACTCCTCAGAGATCTGGCACCCAAAGTCATAGAAGTCTGTGCTCAAATGACTCTGGTGAGTCCCTTCATGCACCTGGAGCTCTCTGCCATGCTCTGACGTCCCCCTCCATGCTACACCTTGGCACCTTGGCGACCTCCCCTCTATGCAAAAGGGTCCCTGCTATGTATGGTCTGCAGTGCTCAGATCTTCCCCTGAAGCCTCTGGGAAGTATATTTGTGCCTTCCGTGTCACATCAGACTGTTGGTTCCTTGAGAGAGGACTCATGTTTCTATAGCCCTTGGAGATGGCAGGGAGCCCCCGGGTCCCTTGGTTCACTTTAAGTACTGCCTGAGCCCAGGACAGCCTGATCCACACAAGCCTTGTCTCAAAAATAAAAATGAAAATCCTCCCAATGAGTGCCCATCTCTTGCCCCTGTACAGAGCCAGCACAGTGGTGCTTCACGCCAGTCTGCCACTCTGCCTTGCTCTCTTTATCTAAATGAGTGGTGATAGGTAATTTATGTGGCATTTGTCCTAACAAGGGGAAGCAATTAACCTCTGGCCTCACTCAGGGAGACAGCTCCTGCTGGGAAGGGGGGACAGCTCCTCGCTGTCTAGTCACGGGGACCGGTCACCGCAGTGCAGCGCAGCAGCAGGCAGCTGGCATCTCTCCGTGGATGGTAATGGGTTTCATTGACTTCCAGGCTTCCGGATGTGTTTGTGGGATTAAAAAGCGCTCCTAACCCTGGGTCCAAGAGAATTGGCCTGTGGGCTACAGCGGCCTCTTAATTACCAGATGCTGTCCTGCTCCCCCAGGGGAGAGGCCATGTGGACAGACACACCGGCCTGGGCTGTTTGCATGCACACTCAAGCTGGAGGGTTCTGAGCTAACACAAGATGCCATGAAATAAGGCTTTGACTGTAAAGCTCTTCATACCAAAGGACCATAAAAGAAATCTCAGGACACAGCATCCCAGCAGTTTTGGAGAATGGTGTCCTGTTGGTTTGAGAAGCAGTATTTTTGGTCTCTAATAAATTCTATTCTTCAGAGAAACAGTAAAACTGTGATAAAACACAAATCGAAATCCTCACCATGCACAGTCAGGGGATGGAGGGGTGCACCCTCAACTCAGAAGCTCCTTCCAGGACCTGGAAAAGCCAGGAGTGGGGATCCTGGGGAGAGGATCCTGGAAACAAAGGGTCTGAGGGGCAGCACCCCATCCTGTCACTCTCCCCGGAGGAGCACACTGAGTCACAAGTCTGTCTGCTCAGTCATCTCTTCTGGAAACAAGCCCACCGCAGCCAGGACAGGGAAGCCGGACGAAGTGCGCCTCCAGCATGTGGCTAGAATTACACAGTGCCACAGCAAGCTTGCAGCACAGAACGGGAAAGTGGCAGCATCATCTCCTGTCCCCAAGGCAAGTGAGGAGGAGAGTCACACACCCTGTGGCCTTCTAGTGTCCCCAGATCCACCTGTGCTGGCTCTGTCACCCTGTCCTCTGGTCCCTCCATGTCCGCAAGGCCTCAGGACACCCCTCTATTGACCGTTTATCCTCACTCCTGTTCACCAAGCATCCTGCAGGGTGATGCAGTTCAGTAGTCACGGTGGGTCCTTGCAGCGGCAGAGGCTGGGACCTGCTTTGGAATGCAAGTTCTCAGCATGCTCTCCTGGACATGGTGCCAAGTCTTTGGGTCTTGGGATGTGCACCAGGATCTAAAACTCACAGCCCACACCTGCTACACCTCCTCATGCCATGCTAACTCCTCTGCCAAGTGCAGTAGGGTTCCTGCTCCCACCCTATCAAAGCTGCTCCTGGTGGAGTCGCCAGCTGGCTCCCCATGGCAAGGTGTGTAGATCCAAGGACTCAGGCCTTAACAGCTTCTGGGCAGCCCTGCCCTTCCCTGCCTTTTTTGAACTGTGGGCTTCTGCAAATCCAGGCTTTCTCGGAGACCCACCAGGTGCTCTGCAGCCTGCCATGTAGATGGTGATCCTTCTCTGGTCCTGTCCCCCTGCTGCCCCTCTGGTTTTCCAGATTTAAGTGACTGCTTGCTTCCTCTGAGCTCCCAAATGACAGATCCTACTGCCTGGTAAGAGCCCACTCAGTTGTGCTGATGACCCTAGAATCCAATGGGTCACACCTGGACAGGTCACTCCATCCAGGTCACACTCATCTGAGACCCATCCTGAGCAGTGTTCTGTTTTGGGGATATGCAGTCTGTATTCTCTCCTTCCCTTTTTTTCCCTGAGTTTTTACACAGCCTTCTCCCTCTCGCAGTTACGCCCCCCATCCCACCCTTTTCTTCAGCTTCTTGGTCTTAATCCTCTCTAAACACCCCAAATTCAGGCTGCGTGCCCCAACATTGCACCAGAGCCCTGAAGACATCACAGCCAATGGTCTTTGCTGATATATTGATGTGAATTATTTTTTATTATAAAAGTAAAATAAGCCACATCAGGAAACAAGAGGTCAGTTCAATTTTTAAAAAATCCAAAAGAATCTCTCTTACCAAAATTTATAAATGAGAACTCAGGGTCACTCTTCGCCTCCTCAATAAAAGATCTCTTTCTGCCAGGCAGATCCCAGACAGCTGGTTCTACCATGCACATAAAAAAGGGCAAAGTCCTTAGCCAGTCAGAGCGGGACTGCTTGGGGACTGTCAGTTTGTTCGGGGTGGGTTCAATGCTCATGAGGGGTTCTGGTGCTAAGCTTGCTTCTGCAAGCTACCCTGAAGGACTGTCACCCGTGGTGAGTAATTCCTGTTAAGGCACACTGAGTCTCAGGGGTCTGAATGTGCTGCCCATGTTTCTTCTGGGCACAGAGCAGGCTCAGCCTGCTTTCTCCTGCTGTCCCCCACCAGCTGGCCTGCAGGTGGGATCTGTCCTCATCCAGCTTTGAAAACTGTGAGGTTGAGCTGGCACAGCCAACAAGAACCTACTTCACTACCCACAGAGGCTCTTCAGGGTTGGTGCCCTGGTAGGGGCTGGGCTAAGGGATAAGGCTTTGCCTCCCATTCCATGGGCTCATGGGCCTCCAGGATGTCCAAGGGGCAGAGCTGAGAGTTTCAGGTGATGCCAGAAAGTCAGTGGTCCAGGAGTCTGCAGGGACATGGACAGCTAGCCTGACCTGACCAATGGAAGGAGGAGAGGGACCTGGCCAGTCAGAGGCTCTGTGGCTGCAGAGCAGCCCAAGGCAGAGTGTGCCCTTTGGATGTTCCCGGGTACACATTTCCCACCCCCTCTGCTTTCAGCATGGCCCCCACCCACAGCTCGTTACACATGGTCTCCTCTCAGCCTCCCAGGCTTCCCTGGCCCTAGACCTGCACTGAGGTACTGTGTGATTCAGGTGTTCCCAACTCTCTGTCCTGGCCAGGCTCCATCCAATTCAGTAATGACAGCAACAATGATGATAACAAAGATGGAAATGCTGCCCCCCCCAAGGATTAGTGACATGTTGGGTTCAGTACTTACTGTACTCCAAGTCCCAGGTGGGGTCCATTACAGACAACCATTCTTGTCATCCTATGACTCTGGTACTGTCAGGAGCCCTGTTTCTCAGACGAAGAGACTGAGGCTTCTCAAACATACTCCAAGTGCTTGGTATTCATGGGTGACCGTGCAGCACCTGGCACACCCACCTCAGCAATGGTCCAAATGTCTAATAGCAGAGAGACTTCCCTGGACTGGAGCCTCCTGGCCTGGGACCAGGGGACTTAGAACCTCTTGGATACTGCAGCAGTGACCATGACAGGCAGTGGCATGCAGCTTGGACGCTGTGTCCACAGGGCTGGGAATTCTGTTTGGGGGTTGAACACTATTCCAGGCCCCAGACACAATGGCCTACACACACCTGAGCTGTGATATGAGGCCACAGTAATGGAATTGGGTAGCTAGAGAGAAAGCTCAAATGATAGGGTTCCTTGGGTCTGGGGTGAAATCTGCAGGTCCCACTCTCTGAGACTCTTGCCTCCTCTACAGAGCAGCCCAAGCAGCCAACGGGTGCCTTTAGATCAGCAGCAACCCCAGAACGCTCATGCACTAAGGGGCCAGAGCTTTGGGAAGGTGACTGGGTCACGGGGTGCCATTGCTGACTTGCTGTGAGGAGGTGGAGGTGGAGTCTGGGCTGAACAGACAGGTCACTGGCAGCATGACCTGGAAGGGCACATCTGCTTCTCTGCTTCCTGGCCGCCATGACCTGAGCAGCTTTCCTCGGCCATTTCTCTCTGTGCTGTTTCTGCCTTGCAGCCAGCTGAGAATGCACTCCACTGAGCTAAAATAAACCTCTCCTCTGTTTAGTTGTGGGTGTCTGGTGTTGTGTCCCAGCGATGAAGAAAGTGACTAAGACAACCAAGATCTGAGAGGCTCACACTGCTGCTGATGGACACAGTGGTCCTCAGGACACAGCAGTCACAGGCACGGACCTCACCTGGCTGGTCGGAGTCTGACCCACCACGGCCTCATACGGCGGCGGGAGCTCAGCGGGGTACAGCATGCCGGGGCTGTTGATGGCTACATCATACAAAGTGCTGAACGGGGAGGAAGCGAAGTCCAGGTGGAGGCCCCTGAAAAGGCAGAACCATTTGTCACACAGGAAGCAGCCCAAGTACTGACACTTCTTCTCTTACAGCAATCAGAACATCGCTTGTCAGGCTTTCCCGTCACCTCAAACTTATCCTGTTTGAGAAATCAAAGCCTGACTTGCTGGGCAATGTTAGCTTTTGTTTTTCTTCTGGAGAGATGTCTGCATTTTCAATGCAATCCATGGCCCTGTCCATCAGAGTTAGAATAACTGTATAGCTAGGAGATCTTGAATAGAATTTGGCATGTTGTATAAATGACTGTCATTCCGTAGCGGTTCCACACATCAAGGGAACATGATCCAGCCGCTCTTGTCTGCCTGTTTCTTTCTGGTGACATTTCAACAATGCTGAAAGAAGTATTCTATTTTGAAGCCACCTGTCCTTTCTCCCTCTTTCCCTGTCCTCCCCTCGAGCGCGCATTCCTGTGCTGGCTCGTTCTGCCTAACCTGCCCCATGAAAGTGAGCAGATGACCTCCCCCAAGACGCTGCTTTTTCCCCCCATTTTATGAGTCCTCCAACTTTCTTTTTATTTTAAAAAGCAAAACAGAAAAAAAGGACAGAAATGATACAGAATTTCAAAACAACAAAAAACAGTAGGAAATGAACACTAGTTACTATATTGTCTACTGTTATCTCAGAGGTAGTTGCTCAGGTCACAAGATTTAGGCACACACACAAAAAATCATCAGACCATCAGACAAGGAAAACAGACTGTTGATGCTTCTCACCGTGGTGGCTGGGACCCGGCACGCACCGTGGGGCAGCGTGGGCAGACCAACCTTGGGGCCTCGGCCGAGGGTGTGCAGGTGTACTCTGGGGGGTAATAGGGTGGAGGCGGGAGCGGAGGGATGAACTCATCGAAATCCAGGGTCTGGTGGAGAACAGTGCCGTGGGGAGTCACACAGGCGGGGTTGGCGGAGTGGGACCTTTGCGGGAAGAACTGGAAAGCACACAGAATCAGAGTTACGCAGGACATCTTGTGTGGCTTGTGTCTAATTAAGCTAATTGCACATAAGCTTTAATGATCGGTGTGGAACGTCTGTAATTTAATCTGTCAAACCATGACTGCTAAACACACATTTTAAAAGGATGCCTCTCCTCAGAAGCCTTATTATGCTTCACTTCCCACAGTGATCTGCACGGGGTATTTATTTTCATTTATTTTTTATTTTTATTTTGAGCAAAAAGCACTGGGGAAGCCTTTAATACCTTCTTCTCTGCTAAATCTGGCTTCTGCCATTGCATTCCTCAAAGACTGCCGGCAACAGGATGCCTGCTATCCAGGGTCTAAGATGGCACAGAAGTTCGTAAGAAAACACTAGGTCTCTGAGAAACATGCACTGCAAGCTCCAATCCTGAAAATAAACTGGTTGGGGGGGAGGGGGGTACCCCAGTTCCTCACTTGGTCCTCTGCACCGTGCATGGATGTGTGAAAGGCCCTGCGGAGGTCTGTGCTGAGTCACTGAACTCTGTAACCCAGCCTCTCTCAATGGTTCATCCTCGGTTCCGCTGGACGCAGAGGATCCACACACTTTGCAAAAGCTCCAGAATATTCTGTGGGGCAAACTTGGCTGCTGAGATGCTGCTTAAAACAAACTTCAGGAAACTCCTTTTAATGGAGTGAGCGTTGCCCGCCTCACTGTTAATCACATCTCTCCCCGCACCCTCAGCTCACTTCTGCCAGGGGCCACCTGTCCTGTGGAGATGCCCGGGACACTGTCCCACTGCTCTAAGGCAGAGTACAGGTACGAGGAGCCTGTGCTCTGCAGGCTCCAAGCTCTGGGCCCTTCCGCTGCAGGCAGGTGACGCAGGGACAGGAACTTGTAGGGGGGGCATCAGGGACCCAGTGCACGTCCCCTGTGCACGGTCAAGCACGACATTACATTTACCACCAAGCAGTGTAGGAACCTCGGGTCACGAAACACCATGAAGAAGAGGACATGTGTGTGAGGATCCTGAAAGTCTGGCAACAGGTCAGCATGCAGGCTTAAGAACAGCTAAGTCTGTGAACGATGTGTTTTGGAAAATCAAACAGGTAAGGCTCTAGTCTGGAAGTCAGTTCCTAATTCTGGTGGTCCTAGGGAGCCGGCGAGAGTGTTGGAGCAGAGGGGCAGCACGGTGGAATCTATGACAGGAAGTGCCTCCTGTCAGCAGAGGTAGCAGACTGGGTTGGAGAATTTTATGCACTAATGTGGGTGAGAATGATCAAATGCTGGGCAAGTAACATGCTCCAGTCTGAAGGAAAAAGAACGGTGGTTGTATATGAGCATGGAACATTTTAAATCAGATTTGCAAATAGTCCTAAATAGTCCTCATGGGTTCTCCCAACCCACAGAGCACAGTCTCTGCGTCGCCAGCTTGGTCTGCCACACAGCTATCGTTACTCAGTTGTGTGAGTTGGAGGTGAATCGGTGACTGTGTGTGGGTTGCACGTTCGCCTCTTGTCCTCTGCCCCTGGAAAGCTGTGAACCCGGACGCTGCAGCACAAGACTGAGCAGCTAAGGTGAGGGCAAACGTCCTTAAATCTAATAAAGAAAGGTCTTGAATTAGTCTCTATCAGAAATTAGAAAATTCAATGGCACACTCAAGCAAAAGTCATGAAATGCAAAGCCAAAACTCTTTGCTATTAAAGGTGCGATTCTATCAGGCCTGGGAACAAGAAGCATTTTTGAGAAACAGCAGCGGCAGGGGCCCCAGCAGGTCCCATTAACAGGATTAAATGAGCAGAGCCTGTCAGGCACCAGAGGTTAAACAACAGGCTGTGGCCCTCTCCAGACTCCAGATCATCTCCCTTCTCATCTTCTCCAAGGCTTCCAGGCTCAGCTCCCCTCAAATAAGCCTGCTCCCTTGGCTCTGCAACCTCCCCAGCAAACAGACCCACAGTGACGCTTGACTTCTCCCTCTCCACCCCACCATCACGGTCTGATTAATGAGGGCAGGGTCTGCCCTTCAGCCCAGGGTCACCAGCTCTGATCTCTGCTCTGAGATGCAGGGTTGGAAGTCCACAGAGCACATTGCCCCCGCTCCTTTTGAGGCTCTGCCTATGGTGAGGACTGGGGGGAGAGTGATAAGGGAGTTGCTGGGGTCCTGTCCCTTCCTCCTTCCCTTCTCTTCCTCCAGCTCCCAGGGCTGGGTGCGGATTCCTGCAGTTCTTGCCCTGTGCAATCTCAGAGCCCTCTGTCCCTTCAACCTTCCATGCCTGAGTCACCAGCTCCCTGTATGATTGGTGGAAACACCAAGAGCACTTTCCTTCCTGACCATCCGGGCCTTCCAGGTTTCACACCTGTGCATTATAATGTGGCACCCAGCAGATGTGGGGAACATCTGTGGAGGGATGCTCCTTGCATGGTACCTCTCTGCTTAGCTTGGTCTGCTCCCCCAACAGGAACATCAAATGTGCCTCTCAACTTTGATTTTTTACCTCCAGAATCCAGTCTTTTTCCTGCCAGCAGAACTATTTTTAACTCAATCTGATGAGGTCACTGCCATTGAAAACTCTCTTACAAGAGAGATCACTGCTCACCAAATCTCAGTTTCCAGCTTCCTAACCAACCAGCCCCAAAAGCTTTATGCTCTGAACAAACCCGCTCCATCCCTGCCCTAACTAACAAACAGGATTTGTTTCCCCTCTGGGCTCTCTCACTCCTGCTCACCTGGTACCCTGCCTGTCATCCTTCAGGACCAAGAAGAGCTGTCTGGGACCCTTGGAGCCCACTGGCCAGCCCTCGTCCTCCCACACCCGCCCAGGCTGCAGGCTCCTGGGTCTCAGGTCCCAGGTGTAAAAAAACACTTTTCCTGCAGATGAGGTGGGCAGAAAGTAGGCAGAAAATGGGCTCTCTATCGTCTCTTCTGTCCCCAGCAGTTCTGCCTGGCTTGGGCTGTCCTACTTGTGTGGTCACAGGGCACATCTGTGCCTGCTACACTAACCTGGTGTCAATGTGGCTCATTTCCAGGGCTGTCACTCACACGCAGGAGTGCACAGCGGAGACCCTGCCTCCTGGCTGCCATGGGGAGAGACAACTAGCATCTACATGCATGTGCTGTCTTCAAGGTGCATGAGAAGTGGGGCTCCCTAAACACAGAGCCCCTAAAATTCGATTCCATCCACAAAGCGCAGACCCTGTGATCTGCGAGTGTGAAGAGGTCAAGGGCCTGCCATGGGAAGTCACAGGTGGCCTCATCTCCCTGAGGGCCCACGTGACAGTGAGTGCATTTCTGAACCTGTGAGTCTCAGGGCCCCTCCCTAGCTCCCCACCCACCCACCTGGGGGCTTGCAAAGGTCTTAGCTCTTCTTCTGCTTGGAGGTGGAGGGTTGAGGCAGGGCAGGCCAGAAGGGAGATTGCAGAAACTCCTGGGGAGTTCTGCACAGATTTCCCCTCCAGGGCCTCAGGCCAGGCTGCCCACTTCCTTTCCTTTACTGTCTAGTGGGGCTCCTGACCAGCAGCTGCCCGCCCTGCTTCCCAGGGACACAGCCCCTCTACCAGCTCTCCTGTAACACTGTGGCTCCTAGAGAGAATGGATGCCTTTGTGACCTTCCAGAAAGATGAAGAAATACAAGGTCAAAGCCCCCTTCTGCTACCCTTCCTTAGACTTGGCAGAAATAGCAAGATTGCTATGGTACAAGTTTTCCGTTTTACAAGTAAATGTGTTTTATCAGTGCCCGTTAATATTACATGATGCTGGGTTTATCTTTGGAAGTGCTGCATGCATTTAACATATCTTAATTTTATTCCCCCTTCCTCGTTCCCCTTTCCTCTCCCTCCTGCTTGCCCCTTTCATTTCTTAATCAACCACTTCATCTGGACCCCACTAGAGGAGTTGGCAGTCTTCCTCTGTACTCAGGTTTACTTCTGGGGTGATGTACACCGCTTGGTGGCTTTTTGGGCTTGCCACTGATGAGCATGTCCCCCAGGGGAGCTGCATGTCAACCAGGGCCTCGGGGTGCCATCCTATACTGAGTAAGGCCACGTTTAGCTACTATTGTATTTGTATAGTGGCACGTGGTTATACACAGGAAGCACGGCTTGTGCTATGAAAACCAACCTGAATGCTTTGGAAAGGCTCACAAAGAAGAGTAGCTAGCCAGGCACAAACAGCTGCCAAATTAGGTCCAGGCAAAGTAGTTCTAAGATAGGAGATTCATAAAAATCATAAAGTCTAGGAGTACTTTCCACTCAGATTGCTTCCCATGGCTCACTCCTCTATAAAAGAACCAAAACTGGATGTCACAATTTCTGTGCAATTTCTATGAAGCAGAAGCAAAAACCAGACCCATAACCAAAGGGAAGATGGTAGCCCCAGACTACAGGTCTGGTGAACAGGTGCTCAAACCATATTTAAAATCAAAATAAGGTATTTTTGGTATGCATGCATCATTCTGCGGGTCCTCTGTTTGAAGTAGCAGTTTACATTAGTCTGCTGCCCATTAGTGTTGGCCTGGTAAATTAGTAGTGCTTACTGCCTAGAAATGATTCCATTGAGCTCAGGTTTCAAGGACAGTCACTGCGGGACCACAAAGCACCATCTTCTGCAGGAGAGACTCAGGGAGAAGATCATGGGGTTCCCAGGGGATAGGGCTGTGTCTCCCGGAGTGGTGCCACAGTGCCCACATACCTGTGGACAGCACGTACCCAGGGACACTTTCTAAGGGAGTTCTGTTTTGTGAGGCGTACGCTAGAGGTGAGAACGTAAATGACAGTAATCAGAGACACAGTCAATAGCAGATGATTCTCCTGGGGCTAAACTGATGGATGACAAAGGAACCAGGAAGGAAAGTTATGTAATGAGAAAATGAGTTTACATTGTAAACCAAAACTAAAACAGTATTATAGACACTTAGGAAGTAAAAAGCACTCTCCACTAAATTACATCAGCAAAAGGAATTGCATCGTTGGATGGTTTTTCTTTTTTTCTTTTTCTTTTCTTTTTCTTTTTTTTTTT